ATAATATATAATATATAATTTAAAATAGTTTATTTTAAATTATTTATTTTATGTGCATGAGTGTTAATGCCTGCATGTACCCGTGTTGTGCAGTGCCCACGGAGAACAGGAAAGGACATTGGATTCTTTGAAACTAGAGCTATGGATGGTAGCTAGCTGCCATGTAGGTGCTGGGATTTACACCTGGGTTTTCTGTAAGAACAGCCAGTGCTCCTAACTGCTGAGCCATCTTTCCAGCCCCCTAAAAATAGTTTTTATAGTGAAGTTTTGAAGATTTATTTTGGTGATTGGCTCAAGGTAGAACTTGCTTTAACTTTCTCCACATCATTTATTTTCTGTTTCACTTGAACACTCTAGTGCCTTTATCCCTATATGGTTTATGAAATTCTAAACTTTTTAAATAAAGAAACTTTAATGGCCCATGAATGACTTCACAAAACAAGATTCATTCTCCTCCACTTCACTGATTAGTGAATTTTATGAGTACCAAAGCCTCAGAAATTAAAATGGATGACCTGTTACAGGTGGGTGGTTCAATGATAAGAAGACTTACTCTCTCTCTCTACCTCTTGTTTTTCCTCTTCTAGGAATGAAGTTGGTTTATGTTCACGATGACTCGGAGAGTCCTGCTGATGTCTTTGTAATCCAGTTGTCAGATGGAAAACATAAAATACTCAAAACGATTTCAGTAAATATCACCCCAGTTAATGATGAGAAACCAAGACTAAGGAAGTAAGCTGCCCCAGGGGGTCCTTTCAGACGTCCACAGAGTTCTGGGAACACTAGTGCACAGAGACAGCTAAGTCTTCCACTGCTTCCATCGAGCACAGCTGCCTTGCCCACTCAGGTTCCTGGAACCTTTAGTGTAGATGCTAGTAAATGGAACCTCCTAAGAATAACTGAACATGTAGTATAAAACATAGGGTTCAGAACATATAGCATGTTATCATCACAGAAAACATAGTACTAAATACACACACACACACACACACACACACACACACACACACACACTGAAGCACCATTCATAACTCAACCTAAGAGTGATAATATTAACTGCTAAGTCCTCACAATGAATTTGGTCAAGCTTTTAACTCAGAGTGACAGAGGAAATATCAATTCTACTTTGTTCATCACCTTGGTACTTCTTGGCCTGACAGTCTGCTGTGGCCCATGTGGACCCACACCCTCGTCAGCTCATGTTAAATGCCACTCTTTAGAATTCTGGTAATTACTACCTACAAAACCTGCCAGCACCTCCCTTGCAGCTGTCCAGAGTTTGATCATGTGGTTGCATTTCTGTAGTCCTAGAAATTTCTTCTCCAGTTGTCAAGTGTACCAAGCATACACAGTACACAGATTGCCACGAGCTTCAGGTCTAGGGTTAGCTTCAGGCAAGTGTTTGGCTCTTGGTGCCTCATCTGAGACGTCCTCTCCTTATTAAATGGTGTATCTATTAACTATATAGTCGTTTTTATCAAGATGTGAACAACTTTCTGAAAAGCTCTCAACTCCCACTCTTCTGTACTACGCAGTAAAGGAGATCAAACAAGTCCCTGCCTTATCCTGCCAAATCCCTACTGCTCCTTATGGCTTGCCAAAAAGGTCCTTAGAAAGTGTTACGGAAAACATTGATGACAGCTTTTGGAAGGTTGCTTCTCAGACATCAGTTTGACTAGGAATATATACCAGAAATTTCTGTGTCTTTATTTCAGTACTAGAATAGCAGATTGGTTTGGGCTTGATTTGTAAATAGGAAATATGCTATAATCATGAACTTCAAGAGGGACGAAGAAGGAATGAGTTCAAGGCCAGCCTGGGTTGAACTAGTGAGATTAAGCCAGCCTCAACTCTATAGGAAGAACAGTTACAGTGGGGGTGAGGAAAATATGAGGGTTGTTGTACAGCTGGGAAACCTTTTCTTGATCATCTGTAAGAAGAGGGAGAAAGATGAAAGGTAGAATTTAATGCCTACTATGTGACAGACATATTTGATCCTTCCTGTCCACCATTTCCTGAAATCCTCATCTACTCTTCAGGAAGTAGGGTCTTACCAGCTAAGACCAGAGAAGCAAAGGCATTCTCTTTGAGCGTGTCCACCCAAAAGCCATACCATCGCTGCAAAACTTCCTGAAAAGCTACAGCTACAAAATCACCAAAGTTTTCAATCCTGCTTCAAAATACCTCTTTTAAAAATATTTTTCGTCATCATAATTACTGTTCATCTTTATGGGCTGTGTTGTGGCATGTCAGTGCTATATTGTGGCATGTCAATGCATATGTGTGATGTGCAGTGATCAGATCCGGGTTAACTGTCATGTCTGTCACTTCAGACGCTTACTACTTCCCTTCCTTTCTCTCCCTCTGCCTTCTGTCCCATGGAAAGGAGACAGTGGGTCCCCTTTCTGTTTCATATGTCTTTAACCTCTTGCTTCCTCCTAGAACATCTGCCATTATTTGTTCCCTAATGCCTCTCCAACTTCTCCCTTTTCTTTCCTTCTGTTAGGAAGACCCAGGGCATAGCTAGTAGTTAAGAAAGTAAATGCCTGAGTTAGATCAACTCAGATCAGCCATTTACCAGTGGTGTGACCTTAAACACACCGCATCACCTCTCTGTCTCTCCTTAAACCTCCCTGTGAATGCTGATAATACTAACCTTCTCTTCATAGGATTGTTGCAACTAGGATTAAGTCAATTAAAATGCGTAAAAGTACATGAAAGTCTGGATAGTACATGGTGAGTGGTCATAAATATTCTGTTATTACCGTTATTACAAGCGGTTTTCCTCATTCTAAAACTACAGAGATAGTCCAGACCCCTATTCATTTCTGCCAAACCTTTTAGATGAGTAGCTTGTGCCAGGTTCTTCCATTTCTGCTCCCCCCACTGCCTTGCCCGTTACCACTTTATTAAAGCTGTTTTTAAAAAATCCTTCATGTTCTCACCAAAGCCAAGGTCCTTTTCACCTTCTGGCCCCTGTTACAGCACTTGACACTATTTCCTTGTTCATTCCTTGAGAGGCTGTGATAGATACTTCTGTTTCCAAGTCCCAGCACCTCAGTGTAGCATTTATAAGCCCCATTACAGTGATGACTCTTAGCGTTTATAAAGTCAAGAGTGGACCAGAACTGCCATGAACCTCTTCCTTCAGATCTCTTGGAACTGTGCTCCCCAGTAGGGCTTAGCTCATTCTTTTATTGAAACAGGATTTCCAGCATGAAATGGGGAAGTAGAAATCAAGACCTACTCTTATCAGAGAGTATTTCCTTTCGATCCCTAGGCCTAGGATATGACATACAACAACAGATTTTCATCATTGTTTGCAATGAGAAGCACATGCTGCTTTCAGTGCTTTGATACATAAAGCATGCATATGCACAGTCATACTCTATTTTACACTATCTTTGGTGGAGGATGAGAAGTCCTGAGGGATTAAGGTCACATGACCAGGTCACAAGAAAGGCACATGACTCTGTGAATAGTAATTTTTTATTACACGGTTAGATAAAAGTCTTTAGATTATATCCATTTTGTCAAAGCCATTCCTACACCTCAGTCAGCCTCTGTTCTATAGATGATGCAGTGGAAGTGTGCTCTGCACAGGGTCGGTGTTGACCTAGCTGCCCATGATTGGTGGCTTTCCTCCTCAGGAAGCTGTCATATCTCTCTCAACCTGGGCCTAGGCGCAACAGAGAGCAATATGAGGATAGCTGGTAACCATGGAAGCTAGCAGATAAGACAAATGTCCCACCTTCCTGACCTCCAGAAGCCTAACCCAAGCCACATTCTGCATGGTTCCTCAAAAGATCCCCAGCTGGGCACAACGGTGTGCATCTGAAGTCCCCACACTTGAGATGCTGAGGCAAGAGGATGTCTTGAATTTAAAGGTCAGGGCCAGCATGGACAGCTAATCAGATCCCTTTCCTTTAAAAAAGTTAAACTTGGCTCAGTAGTTAAGAATGTGTACTGCTCTTAGAGAAGACCCAAGTTTGGTTCCTAGCACCCATGTCAGGCAGCTCACAACTGCCTGCAACTCCATTTCCATGGGGATCAGATGCCTCTGGCCTCTGCTGGCACTGCACTCACGTACACAACTAAAAACAAAATAAAATTTTTTTAAAAGTTAAGCTTAAAAGATCCTAGTAGAATTGAGTCCTAGCCACTTTCAGCAGCAAAAACACCGCTGTTGCCTTTCTCACTAACTCCCATCTTCCTACTTCTGGGATCCTTTTCCAGATAAATTGCCTGCACTGCAGTCTTTGTCCCAGGGTCCCTTTTAGGGTAACTCAAATTATCATACTTGGGTTCTCTGATGTTTGATTCTGACCCACTCTTCCTGCTCAATTCCTTAATGGCTTCCTGTTATGATATATGTTCTTCATATAAAAGGCACTACTAATTTCCATAATGCCCCAACATCAGACTCATTAGCCCTCTAGAATACTGCAGTTCATACATACTCTCCACTGAGAATTAGACAAAGTCACCCCAGTGTCAGGGAAATCTCCAGTCCTGGGCCTGCAAGAAGTCCTCTTTCAGTGAGAGAGGGTGGAATGAGGCATCAGGGTTTGGCTTCTCTGCCAGAGGACCAGATGCCTGTTGATGCCAGTTGATGCGACTTGGTGTCCTTGGTCTTCAATTCCGAGGACCTTAAGCATCCTAACCTTTCTCAAAAACAAAGCTGTGGAGGTGGACAGAGCAGGCACGTGCAATGACCACAGTGGAGAGCTAGAACATTGGTGACAAGAAGTCCCTTCCTCACCTGGTTAAGCCTGGAGAAAAGGCCATCTTGGCTGTCTCCTCACTGCCTCAGTCTCCTCACCACGCCACCTGGCTGGTCAGGTGCGTGGGAGCTCACTTGACGGCTCCAGCACTGCGGGAAGATGACTCTCTATAAGACCACATGTACATCAAAACGTCCAGGAAGAGGATGACCAAATTGCACTAGCCTCAGGGAGATGTATCACAAAGGGCCTTGGGTGCTATGTAAAGCATTTAGTTGCTTTTGGGAAGTTTCTGTCTGTACAATTAGAACTACAGTACCTGGCCCACTTTCTTCATACAGCCCTTGTCATGGGCGTCAAAGGAAATACTGGAAACAAAATCACTTTATAAATTACATTTTAACATATAAAATTGTATAGTTCTACACATGTAAGCAATGAGAAGTATCTGTCACCTGGCCTATCAGTGTTGCTAGGCCACAGCCTTTTCAAACTTTCATGTGTTAAGTGAAATAAGAACCAATTTCCCACCTCTGACTAATGTATTCCAGTACTTTGAATGTTGTTTCCTTCCTTCCTTCCTTCCTTCCTTCCTTCCTTCCTTCCTTCTTCTTCTTCTTCTTCTTCTTCTTCTTTCTCTCTCTCTCTCTCTCTCTCTCTCTCTCTCTCTCTCTCTCTCTCTCTCTCTCTCTCTCTCTCTCTCTCTCTCTCTCTCTCTCTCTCTCTCTCTCTCTCTCTCTCTCTCTCTCTCTCTCTTTCTTTCTTTCTTTCTGCTTTCTTTCTTCATTTTTGAGACAAAATGTAGCCCTAGCTGGCTTGGAACTTACTTTGTAAATCAGGCTGGCCTGAATCTCACAGAGATCTTCCTGCCTTTGCCTTCAGAGTGCTGGGATTAAAAGTGTACGCCACCATACCCAGAAACTACCATTTCTTAATTGTTGAGAATGGGACCTATAACAGCCAATGTAAGTGTCCCGTGTTGATGTGGTTTCTCTATTTTCATATCAACACAGACATTTTTCTTTTTACAGGAAGGCTGAAATCTCAATGAATATGGGTGATACGCGTATTCTGTCTAGTGCTGTTCTTTCAGCCACAGATAAAGACACAACCAGGGAGAAGATTTATTACTTATTTGAAAGACTTCCCCAAAATGGGCAGCTTCAGCTTAAGGTGAGTGGCTTTTTAAAATTATTTATTTATTTATTGATACATTTATGTGCACCACATGTGTTCAGGTGCCTGCAGAGGCCTAAAGATCAGATTCCCTGGAACTGGAGTTACAGGTGGTTGTGAACCCCCTGATGTGAGTGCTGGAAACTAAACCTAGGTCCTCTGAAAGAGCAGTAAGTGCTCATAACTGCTGAGCCATCTCTCCAGACCCTGAGTGGCCTTTTAACTACATTTTTCAAAACTAATGTGACAGTTACAAATTTTCTCAGCACACGCATTTGTACAGCTGAATTTTTTTTATTTAAAAACTTTATTTTTATTTTTTGTTTTTTAAAATTATTTATTTAATAAATTGGCTTTAAATTTTTAGGTTTACAGTTGAATTATTACAGTTATACAATATTGTACTCAGTATAAACCCTATAAGACATAAAATTAAATGAGGTTTTAACCTTTAAAAAAAGACTTCCATTTCATTATAAAAATACACAGTTTCATACAGAAGAATTCATTTTTAATGCAATTAACACTAAGATGTTTGCACATGCATTTCTAATCTCTATATATCTGATTATAACTAGTCACAGTCGGTTAATTTCTGAGATCCTTGGCATCTGAGCATGGCTACAAAGTCCTCAGGTAGATTTCAATGGTAATGTTTTTCACATTTACTAATTATTAAGGAGGAAATTTTTATGCTTTGAAGAATAATTTTTTAAAAAATTTTAAAATTTAATAACCACATGATTAGAAAAAGCATTTCATTACAGCTTTACCATATTCAGTAACACATTCCAGAGCAAGGATACATCTCTTTCAAAAGTGGCTGTAAATTTTTAGGTTCGCAGTTGAATTAATACAGTTACACAGTATTGAACTCAGTATAAACCCTGAAAGATATAAAACTGAATGAGTTTTTACCCTTTAAAGAAGATCTCCATTTCATTTTAAAATACACTATTTCCTACATTTTTAATGCTACTAATACTTAGATGTTTCACATGTGTTTTTAATCTCTATGTATCTGATGATTACTATTCACAACCGGTTACCCTCAGATCCTTAGTACCCGAGTATGGATATAAAGTCATCAGGTAGATTTCAGTGATGTTTATCACCTCTACTACTTAACATGAACTAAATTTTTATACTTCCTCCTCAAATATGTCTTTTTTAAAAAAATTGTTGAATTTTCTGTGTGTATATCATACAGACCATCCCACACAAACTTATTCATCTATATACCCACTTCTCAAATGGCATCCTCCCATAGCCCCCCCACACCCCGCACTGGAGCCCATATACTCTGCCATCCCTATTACTGTCCACTGTGTTGTTGACACTCTCAGCCATTCTCCAGTGCTTGTCTGTCTGCTAAATCTAGTCAGCCTGTCCTAGAGATCCTTCTTTTAGGAACATCAGCTGTTCCTCATCTAGCAGTAATCAGCTGTCAATATTCCTTTAGGTAAGATTGGGGTCTGCTGTTCATTTTTCCAGTTCTATGCTGGGTTACTGTCTGGGAATCTCTTACGCCACCTTGGCCAATAACTCAAAGGAAGGTATCTCCTATCTGGCATTTTTTCTTGTTATGTAGCCTTTAGCTATACATATGGACTCTTAAAAATTATATTGACTCCATTAATCTTTGGTTATACTTTACTTTTGGGTGTTTAAGACCAGGTTGTCCCAGATAGAACAATTTATTTTTACTCTTAAGGTTGTTTGAGGATCTGTTCCTCAGGGGTCACATGGGCTTGGGAGGAGCCCCTGGCTCCTTTCTTTTACCAGTTTTGTCTATGTGAAGATAAGCCAAAGGTCCATTTGATGTATGGTACTGTTTAATTCAGATGTCTCTCTGTTAAGTCTCTGGCCTGTTGACCTATCTAATGGAGACAGTGGGGTATTGAAGTCCCCTACTATTAATGAGTTGGGATTAATTTGGGTCTCAAAGTCCTGTAATTCTGTTTTTATGAAGTTGGGTACACCAGAGTTTGGTGAATATATGTTCATGATTGTAATATCTTCTTGGTTTATTGTTCCTTTGATCAGAATGAAGTGGCCCTCTTTGTCTCTTCTGATTAGTTTCAGTTTAAAGTCTATTTTATTAGATATTAGAATTGCAACACTTGCTTTTTTCTTAGTACTATTCACTTGGTATATTTTTTTCCATCCTTTTACCTTAAGGTAGTGCCTTAATTTTAAAGTGAGATGGATTTTGTTTCTTAATCCATTCATGTAGCCTGTGTCTTTTGACTAGGGAGTTCAATCCATTGATATTTAAGGTTACTGTTGAAAGATGAGAATTGGTTGCCGTCATTTTGATTGCTGTTTGTGTTCTCTGTGTAATTTTGTGTTTCCTTGATTATACCTTTATTTTCTTTGGTTGCCCTGGGGTGTAGTTGTTTCTCTCTCTGTTCTCTGTATTGCTTCAAGTATTCTTTGAAGGGCTGGTTTTGTGGCCATGTATTCTTTAAGGCTATTCATGTCGTGGAAGATTTTTCTTTCCTCCTTAACTATAATTTACATTTTTGCTGGGTAAAGTATTTCGGGCTGGCATCTACTGTCATGTAGAACTGGAAATACCTTGGTCCAGGCTCTTCTGGCTTTCCTAGGTGTTCTTTAAATTCACTGAATTCTTTTATCATGTTTATAATTGTTCTTTTGAGTTCCATGTCCTGTGTTATCTCTAGGCAGTTCTCATTGTACTCCTCTAGAGGAATATTGGTACTTGGTGGGGATATATTATTTTGGTTTTTCATGTTATTGTTTTTTCTTTGTGACTTTGACATGAATTTCCTTTGTAATTTCTGATTCCTGTGTGAGACTCAAGCCTTTCTTTTTTGAGTTTAGGTCTGCTTCTTTTTGTAAACTTTATGTTATGTGCCTTTGTGATTTACTTGTTGGGCATGAAAAGCTGGTTGGCCTAGGCTTCAGGTTCTCTCTTTTGATTTTATATTGAAGTGGCCTAATTGCTTTTGTCTTCAGGAGTTCCCACAGAGGCCCAAGTGAGATGAGATTCGGATGATATCAGGCTTTCTCCTAAGGTCTGGGTCCCTCCAGGAAAGATACTGCCCTCAAGAATTTGGGGGCTGGGCTGGCCTGGGAGAAGGGCCCAGGATAGATGCTGGTCTCAGGTGGCTGGAGGCTGTGCCACCCAGGGAAATAAAGTTCCTGATCCAGATGCAAAGGATCAGGAAGCAATGGTGGCTCTGGGGAGAGAGGTTAGCCCAGTGTCTGGGGTGCCAAGACAAGAAATGGGCCTGTACCCAGCCTAGGAGGAGAGACTCGGTGCGGGGAGCTGGTAAGGTAAAAGAGGCTGGGGTAATCAAGGACGACTGGGTGGGCTAGACTTACCCAGGGAAGGTGCTGGTACCAGGACACTGGAAGCTGTGCAGCCGAGGAAGCAAAGGGATATGAGGGTGAGATCTGGTCCACAGGGCTCCTGGGTACCAGGAAAGGTGCTGGCACCAGGCTGCCTAGAGGCTGTGCAGCCCAGGGAAGTAAAGGGAGGTGAGGGAGGGACCAGGCCCAGAGGATTCCTGGGGACGGTAGGGAGGAACTGGGTTGGTCAGGATGCAGAGGATCGGGAAGCAGTGATGGCTCTGGTCTGAGAGGTTGGCCCTGGTGTCTGGGGTGCCAAGAGAAGAAATGGGTCTCCAGCCTAGGAGGGGAGACTAGGCGGGGGAGCTGGGAGGGTGAAAGAGGCTGGGGGAGTCAAGGCCTTACCCAGGGAAGGTGGTGGGACCAGGACATGGGAGGCTGTGTAGCCCAGGTAAGTAAAGGGAGATCAGCTGAATTCATTTTTGCATGTGTTTTATCTAAAAGAATATTTACTTTTCCTACATCAGGGCAAACTCATATCTTTCTAAATTTTCTTTGCCAACTTACAATAAATTCAATCAATATTAAATCTCCTCATTGCTTTTGTCTCCCCAGGATTGTTCCTAAATCCCAAGGGAGGAAATTGCTCTGTTAGAACAAGCTCTTTGGTTTCTGAGCACCTTTTGGGTGTCTTTATCTCCACCAGATGTTTTTTCTTACGATCTATATAACTTAACTTTACTCTTTAGTATTCATTATTTCAATCATAAAACACTTGTTGATTCTCCCTCCCTCCCAATCCCCCTGTATTTTTCTTCTTTCTGTCTCCTTTTCTCTGCCAGGTGCTAAGCCATTCTTAGGAACAGGAAAATATTTAAGATCTGAAAGGTTTGATTGGTTCCTTTGTTCTGTAGCCCTACTTCTCCATCCTCATCTTAATGTCCAAGTGGGCAAAATCTTGAATCAAAAATTACACTGGGGAGAACTTCACATAGCAGTCCCCCCTCCCCACTCTCTGATGCCTGCCATATTTTAGTATCCGCCATTTTAGAGTCCAGCCAAGTGCATGCCAGCACATTAATGTTCCTGGAGTTGCATATGTTCTCAGAATTACATGCTTTAATAGAACTCGAGGAAGTATGGAAAGCTGAGGGGTCACCAAGGGTTAAGTTATGTAGGTGCTAGTGCTGACTCTCCCAGTAGCTGGTGGTCTGATCATGCCCTCTTGCTCATTTTAGTTCTCCAACAGCACATTTCCAGTCTGTTCAGATGACAGGCATGATGCTTAAGGCTCAGTCCAACACAAAGTGTGGATCATCTACTTAGGAAGGTTAGCCGACTCATGAGTCAAAATGTTTATTTGAATGATAGATTAAGGCCAGCAGGAACCACTGCCTATCGTCAGTGTGGTTACCTGAATGAATGTTTGACTCTTAATCTAATGCAGGCTCAGTCTTAGAAAAGCAGCAAGGATTCATTCTGTGGGGAACAGCTTGATGTTCTCAGGGTGTAAGCAGCACAGAGAATCAGAGTGGAGAGCCAGCACTGATTTAAATTGAGGTGCAGCTGTGTCCTTACTTCATTTCAAAGAGTAACGAAGCAGAAATGTGGTGAGAGCTCACACGTTTGGGTGGCTTGGGAACTGAGCTGTTTTGGAGATGTGAAGATCCAGATGGGTCCAGGATCCCAGCAGGCTGTACAGCATTTTCTAGCGCCTTCCTCAGGCTCACTGAGGTTGGCTGACTGAGGCCAGGAACCAGGCCTTCAGGCCTCCTGGACTCTTGCAAGGATTCTTGTTAGCATCCTTTATTTTTTTTCTCATTTTGAGTTTCTCTTATTTTCTTTTTTCCTCTTTCTGGCCACAGATGATTCTGTCAAGTCAAACTCATGCTTGGGAGGGCAAGTGAGGAATTAGAAACAAGAATAAATGATGCTTTCCTCTGTATTTATTTTCTTGGGCAAGATTACCAAGAGGAAAAGCTTAATAGAATCGGTATGGCTTAACATTTGAACAAGAATCTGTTTGAAGATACCTATTTGCAGATAGATTTCATAAAAGAAACAAACACAGCTCAACTATTACTATATAACTAACTTAACCAGTGAAATGGGGCAGACCTTACATCTCCAAATATCAGATGGGCAAAAATACTAAAGAGGAAGAAGCTGCGAGAAGTAGGATGACATCAGGAGACGCAATGGCACAATGGGAAGCACGGCAAGACTCTGCCGGGGACTGTGTATGGCTGACCAAAGAGAAAAAGCAAGTGCTTGTAGCTGGTTTTAGTCTGTTAGCCAAGCAGGCAAGCTGCAGTATAATTTCATAGAGCAAATCATTTAAAATGGCGTTTAAGAACCTCTTTAAGCTGAAAAAGCCACAATTTCTGCACCAAGCTTTGAGCAAAAATATGTGCTTAAGTAGTGTTGACTTGTGCTTAGAAGAGGCTGATAAAATGGCAAATGATATTTGCAGTTTATGCTTTTCACTGACTTAGGATCTAAATCTGGAGTGATCATTTTCTTCAGGCTTTAAGGCTAGTCAGTGGACAGGGGGTAAATGCTAATGCATTCTGGTTTTGTTTTTATCAAATGAACTTGAAACAAACAAACCACTTCGAAAAAAAGAGGTTTGATTATGTACAACGGCATAAACCAAAAATAAATAAGTGAGACAGGAAACTCAAAAAAAAAAAAACACATTTTGTTTCTAAGGAACCCATTCCAGCACTGATTACCCACCTGCTCTCATTAATTGGAATATTTAATCAGCCATGATTGCTGATTATAAATACCTTGGAAATATCAACGCTGGTGAATGACTTAGTCAAAAATCCTTTGACTGAAGCTATTTTGTGCCCTCCCTCCAAGGTCTTTAATTATTTTAATGTATTTCTTTGAAAAGAAAAATATAAGGTACCCTAGCAAAAAGTAGTGTGGAGTTTCCCTAAAGTGCTCCTATTGGAGGTTTTCGGGGGATGGGGAAAGTATCCAGCAGCTGAGGAAGCTGGGGCAGCTGGCTAACTGTGACACCTTTCAGGTAGGGAGGGACTGGGTCCCTCTCTCCACTGGCATGAAGTGCACCCAAGAGGACGTGGATCTAAACTTGCTGAGATACACGCACCTGGGCACGATGGATTCCCAGGATCGAGACAGCTTCACCTTCTACCTCTGGGATGGTGACAACAGATCACCAGCATTTGACTGTCACATCATCATCGAAGACATGGGAAAAGGTATGTTTCCTGGTGTTACTGGCAATTGTCAGAGGAAGTGAGCTGGTCTAGGAACACGCATTTGTGCTGTGTCCCTCCTTCCCTCCCTCCTTTCCTCCTTCTGCACTTCATCCCTGAAATTGGACCAATTTGTCATTCGATCCTCTGACTGTAACTCCACACCTTCCTTTCCTGGGATCCTTGAGGTTCATGACTCGCCAGCTGGTCCTACTGAGAATCCAGCCTTGTCCACAATGGCTATGGGCTACTGTAATGGCTAGGTCTTTTTCTTTTAAATAAAAATTTTACCAAAGTGGTGTGATAATTGTAGTTGTAGTCGTAGGAAGTAAATTATTTGAAAATAGGAATTTCAAATGAAAAACATTTCAAAAATTAGAAAAAAGAAAGGAAGTAGAAAAACACACATCAACTATTTTTTAAAAATAATAAAAGTTCATAAATTCATAAACTCATTCATTATGAAACACATTTTCGTAATTCAACTTATCAGCTAATAAATAGTGGGAGGATAAAGTTTTTTAAAATGTTTGACAAAGGCGAGTATAAGCCCTTGATATTCAACTGTCACTACTCTATAATTTATAACTTACATAGGGAGAGTAAGAATCATGTCTTGTTCATAGCCCCAGGATCTAGACATTTTCAGATCAAGCATAGTCTTAGATCTTTAATACATGTGCCATCGGCGGAATGCTTCTTTGTTTTGCCTTGGTTGCTAGGACGCTCAGAACTAAGTATAATGATTTAAGTGCAATAACTTATTTCTAATTGAGCTGAAATACAAATTACAATTTTCTTTTCATCTGAGTTGATCTTATTTATTTTTTGCATGTATTTTTAAATTTATTTGCTTATTTGCTGTTTATAAACTGCTATTCATAACTAAAGACTCAAATAAGCTAGATGTTTATAGCTTACATATTTATTTCTCTGCAAAAATATCATATTCAGGCAAAATGTAATATAATTAATATATTAGAACAGGCAACTGATGTGTTCAGCCAAGCTATCTTGTAATTGGTGCAGCATACCTAAGCCTCACAGTAGTAGAGAGGATGCTGTGGTCCACAGGCACATGAGCATTGCCTGTCTAGCCACCTCCTCATCTCTGAAAGTCATAGTCATTCAGGAAGTAAGATATAGAGGAACATCTCACAAACCGGGTTCTCATCAACTCAACTTGAAGGCAGCACACCTCTCTTGGATGCCTTCTAGTGGCTGAATCACAGCTGTAGGCTAAGGATCACATTCATGAGCTGGGCAATAGAAATTGTAGCCACACACCCAGAAAGAAAGGCACTAGGTTGCAAAGTACCTCACCAAACTCTGCCATAGTCGATAATGCAAGCATTTTCTAAAGGGATCTGAGAAAACCTATACCAAGGAGGCAGGTGTAGTTATCTATTAACATTCCAGAACTTCAGAACTTCTCTTGCTTCATTGTATAGTGTTTTATGTACAATGACATTTCTAAGTTTCTTATGTTCTGATGGCTTCATGAGCTTGCTTACCTTTGAGGAGAGCCTTATTGAATAGTTGGTCTTACTATATGCAGAACATATACTTAGTTTTGTCTGGGAGCTATTGCAGGTAACCCTTACAGTTATGCTGTGTACTGATTTCCACAGTGGCAGAAATGATGTCTTTGGGAGATCTTTGGGAGAAGTGTAAGAGGTCCAGGTCCGTAATTTTCCTCTACCTATACTCTGGCCTCATGGTGCTGATAGAGCAGCATCAAGGCAGGAGCCTGGTGCTCTTCCTCCCCTCAGAGGCCACTGTGCTCCTGGTGACAGCTCCTCCCAGCTTTCTGATTCCCTTCCTTGTTTGTGAGCACAGAGGATCTCCTACTCCTGTGCCTGACATGAAGCAGAGGCTTTGTTTATTTTTATTATTTACTTATTTGTATTGTTAAGGATTGAATAGAGGTCCTGGTGGATGCTAGGCAAGCACTCTATACCTGAGCTACAGCTCTAGCCCAAACCTTTATATTTTAGATATGATTGTTTTCTAATGGACCTCTGGTAGGTGAAGTTGGATCATAGCCCTACTTTGTGAAGAATCATGGGTCCATATGTTAACCACTTCTACCCACGTTCTATACATGTTCACTCGTGTACCCACTTATGCATTTTCTGAAGCATTATAGTATAGGTATATCGTAAATGTACTGTTGCTGCTTCTGCAATGTGTTTGCTCATTCCTTTCTCCTTGTTCTTTTACTAATAATTATATAGACCTTTCCAAGGCAAGTTAATCTTGATTTGAGCATAATTTGGCCTCTATTTTTTATATTTAGCTTAGACGTTATTAGTTACTCCTCTTGTCTCTGTGATCAAATACTTAACAGGAAGCAACTTAAAGGAAGATGGTTTCTTTTGGCTTGCAGTTCTAAGGGAATGCAGTCCATCACAGTGGGGGTGGCCTGGTGGCAGGAGCGAGGCAGCTGGTCACATTGTGTCTGCAGTCGGGGAGCAGAGAGATGAATGCTGGTGTTCAGCTTGCTTTTTCTTTTTTTATTCATTCTGGCCCCCTTCAATGGTCTGCCCTCAGTCAGGGTAGGTCTTTCCTCTGCAGTAAAACCTTTATAGCAGCACCCTCATAGACACACCCAGAGTTGTGTTGCCATAGTGATTTTAAATCTAGACAGGTTGATAATGAAGATTAGCCATCACAGGCATCATATATTTTGAAATATCAATTTTAACCAAAATTTCCCTGCTATACAGGAGAGATTGTCATTCATGCAAAACCACTTGTGGTATCCAAAGGCAACAGAGGTGTCTTGACAACTACCACTCTTCTGGCTGTGGATGGGACAGACAAACCCGAGGAACTGCTCTACATTATCACCACTCCACCTCAGTATGGCCAGGTGGAGTATGTCCGCTACCCTGGAGTGCCCATTACCAGCTTCAGCCAGATGGACATAGCAGGACAGACAGTCTGCTACATGCACAGGAGCAAGGCAGCAGTCCCCAGTGACCGCTTCAGGTGAGCCTGTGAGACTTTTCTGAGTCCCTTCCTTAGATGAGTGCGTAGGAGGAGAAGAGGAGCTGTGCTAATGTGCTCCGCTCCAGCGGCTGTTTTACTGTGCATTTCTTAAACATTATGACATCTTAAGGATTCACAATACAGTTAATTTTTTTAAAAGAAAGAAGGAAAAAATAAATCCTTTTCCCGTTCTACTATAGCTGTGTTTTCTTCTGCCTCCTTGCTGTGGGAAAGGGGAAAGCACACAATTAAAAAGACAGAAATGGGCTGGAGAGATGGCTCATCGGTTAAGAACGCTGACTGTTCTTGCAGAAGACCTGGGTTCAAATCCCAGCACCCACATGGCAGCTAACAACTGTCTGTAACTCCAGTCCCAGGGGATCCGACAGCCTCTCCTGTCCTCCACAGGCATGGCATGACATGAAATGGTACACTTACCTACACACACAGGCAATACATGCATACACATAAAATAAAAATAATAAATGAAATATTTTTTAAAAAGACAGAAACAAGGCAAGAAACTGGGGCCTGTGGTTAGAAAAGAAGTGCAACAAGCGGACTTAAGCTTTTTTCTCAGAAGAACATGGGGAACTGAGAGCACCCTGGATACAGAAGACATAGAAAAGCAATTTCCCCTTTCTATGTTTTTCTATTCAGGGAAAAGGCACATATTAGCATAATATATTTGGCATGAGCAGACACTGCCTTTTGACACAACATGTTCCCGTAACTGTATCATAAATCATATTGTCACAAAGTGGATCATATTTCCCCATAGAAACAGTGTTATAATTGGGAACTGTGCACCTGCTCAAGGATTCAATATCAAATAAATCATTGGGATGAATAACAATCTGGGGTGAAAAGCCAAAGATACAACATTAACGAAAATCTGCATTCATTTAAAATATGGAAATTTATTTCAAGTTCCATAAAGCAAGAGAAACTCTAGGAGCTCGTCACGTGGCAGGTAAGGCTGACAGGACTTTTGGTCCTTTATAGAAGTGGAGGCCCCTGGGCCAGTGGGGAGGACTGGGCAACCTTGGACTAGCCTTTGGGTACATAATCCGACTTTTACTTTCAGTACACTCTGAAAGCACTTAGTTTACCTGCCATGTACACAGGACTTCTGCTTTCTAGTAAAATGCTCACTATGTCCACTAACCCTTCCAAAGAGCACTCTGAAGTAACATAAATGTAGCAGATGCCTGTATTTTCCTAGGGTTACCAAGGCACCCATGTTCAAATGCCTCTGTTTTCTGTCATATTTTACCTATCTAAATCTCATATGCCTGCTGTGATGAAGTCTAATGTCAGTGAAAAGCATGCTACTTGCCTTATGAACTTTAGAAATTATTTCCGAAAGGTGACATGGATCACAATGCTAGTAGGTATGAACTAATATCATCTGTGTGTGTGTGTGTGTGTGTGTGTGTGTGTGTGTGTGTGTTCATAGGGGGTACACGAGTGTGTGCAGTTGTGTGTGCATGTAGAAGACAGAGGACAACACTGGGTGTCATGCCTCAAATGCCATCCATCTTGTTTTGAGGCAAGGTCTCTTATCGGCCTATAATTCACCTAGCAGGCCAAGCTGGCTGGCTGGTGAGCTCCAGAGATCCTCCCATCCCTGCCTTCCCAGTGCTGGGATTACATGTGCACACTACCACATTCAGCATTTTTATGTGGGTTCTAGAGAACAAGTTCAAGTCCTTGTGCTTGTGAAGCAGCCCTTTAACAACTGAGCCATCTTTCCTGCCCTTCTCTCTCTTTATAGATATCCTTTCACAGGAAGATCGTCATTTACATGAGCAATAGCTTAACTGAGTCTGTGCTTGAGTGTTGTTAGGTGTTAGCTAAAACATCAGAAGGAAGGGCTTCCTCTTTAGGCTGGTTCTTGTGTTTACATGGTGTGGTGTTGTTGTAAAGATACAGGCTGAGCAACTTTTATTACCTTTGTGACTCACAGATTCATGGACTTCATCGAATCACACAGCCTCTTGTCTGTCTTGTATGACACTGGATAGGGTCATTGGGAGGTTAAAATGAGTTTATGCATGTGAAGTGCGTTTGGCAATACCTGGCACATGGAAAGAACCAAGTCAGAATTAGCTGCTTGTCATCACCCCTTGTGTTGCCATGGTTATTTCCTTCCATCTTTACAACAGCAAGCAAGATCATGGGGGAGTAAGGACATTTCAGGAGTGTTGTTTGCTCTTTCCTCTGCTCATGGAGACAGTGCTCCTTGGCCTAACATGTGCTTATTCTATCCCTTTCTGGAACCTCTTGCTATTCATCCCTGCTTCCCCTAGTCAATGCCCACAGGACAGTCTACTGAAGACACTAGTGACTGTTGGAGTGACCAGTGACCTGGCTGAAGAAACTAGTGAATGAATGTGTACAGAGGCAGAGACATGCAGGATAGATGCTAATTAGACAGTAAAGATCAAAACAAAATCTCTAACGGGAAGATCTGTGATCCCATGAAATACTCTTCCTTTGTATCAGCAGAAAGTCTCATTAGATGGCATTTAAAAAATCAGTGTTCTCAGGAGTTACTACATTCTTGGGATCCTGGGAGAGTTGCAAAATACAAATTTTGGTGCCTCTTGTCCCAGAGACTGCTTTAAGTCCAGTCTTGGCCTTAGGAATCTGTCTTTTAAAAGGCTCTCCAGGAATTGAGCCATTAGGACCAGCAGTCTCTGAGCTAGCCTGGTCCACCCTCTGACTGGTTCCAGAAGGTGGTCCCAGCCCTTCATATTTAACTCTCTCTCTCTCTCTCTCTCTCTCTCTCTCTCTCTCTCTCTCCTCTCATTCATTTGAGACAGTCTCCCTCTATCCCCAGATGGCTCAGAACTTGCTGTGTAGACTAGGCTGGCCTCAATCTCACAGAGATCTACCTGCCTTCTGCCTCAGGTTCTGCGCCATTGAGGAATATCTACCTAGAATTAAAAATATTATTTTCTTATATATTTGTGTAGCATTAATGGAATTCGGGTTTAACATGTAAAAATTTCGGTTTTGAGTAGTTAAAGTGTTTCTTTTCAAATACTAAAATTGATGTAAAGCAAAACCACAAGTATGAATAGTGCAGGTGGTACAGGCGTGTGGCACACACAGAGGGTGGAGGCATCCATCAGCCCCAGTGCCTTCGCTTACCTGTGGGGCAGCTTGTATTGCTTAAACACCTACATTGCCTCAAAGGACACCTCCATCTTGAGAGCCATGTGGTTGCTACCATTTGGGGTCCAGTCTACCAAAGTTCCAAGAGACAAAGGAAGCCATCTCAGCTGACGTAACAACTGCGTGTCACTTACTTGGGGGCTAAGAGCTCATTTCAAGTGAAGGGTTCTTTCCATCATAACCAAAAATTTGTGGAGACTCCGTTTGTGCAAAGAAAGCCCCTGCATGTGTCATTCTGATCCGGGGCCAGCAGTTTTACATATTTATAATGCAAGAACCTAGCATCTGCCCAAGATCCACATTTTAATCTTGCCATTTCCCTCACCCGGTCACGGGCTGCTCTGCTGTTTGTCAGGTGGTGCTAAACCAGAGCTGAAAGCCTGTTTTAATGAAAGTGTGATCATGGTGCTTTTTAAAAATTAAATATATGCAACCAATCTAATCACCTAAATTTATGTTGCTTGCTGTTAAATTTGGCAAGGAATTTGGCTGGGTAAAAGAGATAAATTCTGTGGTAGAGAATTTTTCCCCTTCCCTTTTTAATGTAAGATATGGCAGCATTAATTAAACAGGGGGTTTAATAGTCAGATTTTACCTTCTGCAAAAATATTTTGTGAATCATAAATTTCCCCTGCATTGTTTGGTGCTGCTGGCCTGGAAAAGAGATTTGGCAGCATGCTCTAGGACAGATGACACGGAGCGATTAGCAAGCTGACTTCAGCTGCTGGCGGCCGGGCCTGAAAGAGCATGCTAATGTCCTCCATTTTGACGTGCCGGCTGGACTTTTTTTTTTTTTTTTTTCCTGAGGAGCTGGCGCTATTTATGATTCCATTTTTATCTTTTAAATGCCATGACAGATGGCAGATTCTTCAGCCAACTCTATTGCCAGGAAATGCAGAAAGCTTGAAAGTGCTCTGGTAATGGTGAAATCAGACCAGGCAGGCACCCCTAGACAAATCTGAAGTCATCCCCCAAGTTTCCTCAGAATGGTGGTCACCCTGGTTGCCTCTTTTCCTTGGAGGGTGTAACAAGGGAAATCAAACAAAGCATCTGAGGAAAATAGACCAGAGCTGCCCCTTCCGTAGAATCAGCCTTCTCATCCCGGTACGGACACAAACAGGAATGGCACAGCTGGCTTAAACTTTGAGAATATATTTGCAGGACTTGTGGGGGGCATTGTGGAAGACCCTCTGCTCACCTCTTGCAGTCATGAGCTATGCTGACCTTGTTTTACCTCTGTTAGCTTTATCCTGATGGGAACCCAGGCATAGCCGCTCACTCTGTCTCGCTCACTCTGGTAATGTTTCTCTGCCAGTGAGTACTTCTCATTGTTACTCATGAAAATGGAATGATGTATTTGATCCAGTCATGTTTAGAAATTACATCTTTTTTCACCCCTGACTTATTAGCTTTAGGTCAGTGCAGACAGCTGCCTCGGTGTCCCAGCTGGGAACACTGGCTTCAGTGAACGTATTTCTTACTCTTCCATGGTCCCTGCCTGCTTGCCCCCATTCCCATCTGTCAGATGGCACATTGCCTATTTCCCACGTGGTCAGATCCCCAGCATCAGGCGGGGACATGTGTGAGAAGGACAGCATAGATCATGAGACAATTTCGATGCCCTCGCAGAGGTCATATTTAGTCCTGAGGCTGAGCTTTTGAGAGCTTGTCTTGAATGGACAGGATCATATATTAAAACGGCTACCATGGAGGGAGCCAGTAACTCACCATGGCTCACATTGAATCTTGTTGCTTTTGATCAGTTTCATCTCTTCTTTTCTGCTTTCTTCTTAGCTATTACTTGACAGCCTTTTAATGGTACATGAGCTCTAGGTTCAGAGAGTGATTGAGGAAGACACCCAATATCAACTTCTGGCTCCACATCTGTATACATATAGAACATGCCCAAGTGCACACACCCATACATGGTATGCTACACATACATGTATGCAAGATAAAAATAAAGAAAATTGTTAGACTGCATGGCTTTTGGACTATGTTGGCATTAAGCTGTTAACGGCTGCTTTAAACTACCTCAGAAAGCATAGTTGATGCTGGAGTCTGATGGGGACTAGAAAGCCATTTCATTTGTGAAACAGGGAAAAGTGAAAGGTCTGAAGCGTGTTTTAGAGGAGTGAAGAGGGATGGAGACCTTGGCAGCACAAAGGGAACGCAGGATCTTATTTCGCGTTGGGTCACTTGATAGAACCTAGGGAGGGGAGAATATGATGAAGTAACAGGAAACAAAAGAATAAAGACACAGTTTTTGAAAATGTTTGCCAGAAAATCGGAGCACAGTTTTTAATACCTAAAAATGCATCCCTTGACCTTTGAAACTGTCAACCAAAAGTCTGAAGAACACAGATATTTTTCAAAGTGCACTTGTTTTTCATCAAAAACTATTTCATAATACTTCATATTCTTCCACTGAATTGAATTTATTAATCAGAGGTTTATTTTTACAAAAGAAAAACTGATTGATAGTCCTTAAGGAACCTGATTTTGTTTGATGTACAATTCCCATAGTAATTCGATGTCTCTATTTTAAATTATGCTCACTGATACTATAGGAAAATGTGAAAACTTTTACTTTATATCACTTAGCCTTTATGGACATAGATTACTTATCCTATGTCTCACATCCTTGTAGGCAGTCTTTGTACCTAGCTAATTAGAAAACTCAAAACTAGCCTTCCCTGGACCCTTAGAGCTATAATAATGACTGCTCTGATGAGATGCCCATGGGTGCAGTAGTGACATGAGGATTATGTGAGTAACAAACACCTTTTTGATTGGATTTAAAGAATGCTCATGCTCAGGAACCCATACCTGATACTGTTAGCTAGGCCCCAAACCTATGATTGACTAAGTCATGGGCCCCAGAAGAGAACCTAATACTATAATTCTGCAAAATGGACATAGTAATAAACTGCCCTAAGTTCTTATCTCCGTACCCATAGATTAATCCATCTCTCAACCCTCATCTACTTTTTGTAGTAGACGGTGACTAATACAGAGACCCACACCTGGTCAGTGTGCAGAGAATAAGCGACTATGGAGTGCTCAGCTCCAAGTGGGATCTTTATATCATACCCCCCCACTTCCCGCCAAAGGCTCATAGATCACCACAGCAGAGGGGACAGAAAGATTGTAAGAGCTAGAGGGAGCGAACATCTGCAGCAAAATAGTATTTACCAGACCCCAGTGTGCCACTGCACACATGAACTCACAGCAGGTGTGACTGCATACACATGACCTGCACAAGAACAAGCCAGTCAAAACCACAGCATGGATGGGGAAAGGCCTCGTGAAGTCCCACCCCGGCTGAGGAACTATTGGCAATTGATGGCTGCCAGGGACGGAGAGTTGGTTTTCTTCGGGGATGTGACTCCTGAGAAGCTACCCATGTCCCAGTGGGTTGTCCTACATCATGTGCATACAGGTAGCACTAAGTAGACTCAGTGGTCTAAACAAACAAGCAAAAAAGGACATGAAGTTGGGATGAGACGTTGGTAGGGGAATGGGGGAAGAACTGGAATGAAGGGAACAGGGGTGGATTTGATCAAAACACAGATGCATGTATGAAATTATCAAACAATAAAAAATTTTAGCCTACCCTTCAAAGAAAAGTCTGTACGCAACCAAACCTGTCTCCTTTTACATTTTGTCTAAATATGTTTATTCTCAAGACCTTTGCTCCAGGAAGGCTAAGTAACTCTATCCACAACCTGGTTTCCGGTTACTTCATGCTCAAATGTAAAGCATCAACCCCCAAATCCTGAAGCACAAGATCCAGTTAACAAAGAATAAGAATTTGTTAATCAAATTTGCCAGGTTAAATAAAATGCATGCCATGCTTTCTCTAGGGACAAAAAGAGCATCTGAAGGAATTTTATGTGAGTTAATGTAATATTCCAGTAAAACATTGTTTTCAGAACGAGGAAAGAAACTGCTCTGGAACGACTAAGAAGCGGCTTTGAGTGATTCCCATACAGTGCTTTGGGCTGTCTGTGGCAAATGCGTTGATCTCATTTGATAGTAGTAAATTCCTATCTTTTGGGAGTTTTAATATTGTGTTTTATTTGTCTAAGTTCACATTCCAGTTTCCTATCTCTGTGACAAATACCATGACCAAAAGCCACTTAGGGAAGGAGACTGTCCATCACTGAGGGAAGTCAGGGCAGGAACTGAAGCAGAAACCATGGAGGAAGGCTGCTCGCTGACTCATCCCCGCTGGCTCACACTTAGCTAGCTTTCTTATACAGCCCAGGACCACCTGCCAGGGAAATGGTGCTGACCGTAACCCAATCTGATCTCAGAAATCCCTCAACTGAGACTCCTTTCTCAGGTGACACTAGGCTGTGTCAGGTTGACAATTAAAGCTAAGTAGGACAGTTCTTGATACCCTTAAATTTATTTAAAATGGGGGCTGGAGAGATTGCTCAGCGGTTAAGAACACTGGTTGTTCTTGCAGAAGACCTGGGCTCGAATCCCAGCACCCACATAGCAGCTAACAACTATCTATAACTACAGTCCCAGGGATCTGACAGCCTCTTCTGACATCTGCGGGCATTGCACGACACGGGTGCATTTACCTACATGCAGGCAATACTGGCATACACATAAAATAAAAATAGTAAATGTTTTTTTAAAAAGTTAAAAATAAATAAATGCACTTGAAGTCAAAATTGTAAAAGAAAACAAGGTCAATATATGATGATAAAAGGACCAATTCATCAGGAAGATATGATTATAAAAATATATACACTCAGTATTGAGTATTGAGTATCACATCAAGACATTTTTATATATAAAGCAAATAATGAATCTGAAGACAGAGATGTCTGTAACTCCAGTTCCAGGGGATCCGACAGCCTCTTCTGTCCTCCGCAGGCATTGCACAACACAGGTGCACTTACCTACATGCAGGAAATACACACATACATATATAAATAATAAATAAAATTTAAAAAAGTTATTTAAAATGAAAACAATATGTTGAAATGTTATAAGGACCATTTAACTTAGTGTGACTGAGTCAGTCATTCCTTCAAAATTCAGTGAGTAGAATATGACTCAGCGATCAGTGTAAGGAAAGTACATACCCAAGACTGGATGTGTGTCAGCTTACCTGGAACATGTGTCATTTCAACGTTTCATCGTTGGGCATTGGTACTTAGGGGCTGCAACTCTTTTTTAGTGAGTTGCTAAACTATCGATTGAAAATTCTGTAAGAACAGACAGTGCAGGGTCAAATAATCTGAGTTCTAGCCCCAACTCCATCTACCTGCCTATGACCTCCACCAAGTTTCTGAACTTTCCTTTTTAGCAGGGAATGGATCCTTGTCGACCATAAGAGTACATGCCTTAAATGAAAAAGATGCAGAAAAGCCCATGTAAACTCGAGGGGATTAGAGCCTCACACAGTACTGTAGAGTTGATCATCTGGCCTCTGGTCTTTTCATCTTATAAAAGCATATGAAGAAGACCTGGAAAAGGGTCTGAGCTAGACAAGATTAGGTGACTGAGCAATGTGATCTGTTCTTATGAAATTTTCCATTAGCCAGCGGCACAGGCCTGTAATCCCAGCTACTTAGAAGGCTAAGGCAGGAAGTCAAAGTTCAAGGCCAGCCTGAGTAAGGTCAGCTTAGTGAGGTCATGTCTCAAAAAGTTAAACACATACACACACACACACACACACACACACACACAGTAAGGAAGATGGCTCAGTGGGTAAAGGGCTTGCAACGAAGCATGAGGATCTCAGGTCAGATACCCAGAACCCACATAAAGCCAGATGCAGGAGTGCACATCTGTGATCCCTGCACTCATGTGGCAAGATGGGAGGCAGAGATCGAGAGTCCCCAGAAGCTTCCAAGCCAGCTAGTCTGTTGTATGCAGTGGCAGACAAGAGATCTTGTGGCAAGCCAGTTGGAAGGTGAGGCTTGACACCTGAGGTTGTCCTCTGACTCCACACATCCCATGGCACATATGTGTGCATTATACATAACATATACATGTACATACCTAAACTTTTCAAGAAAGTTTGTGGAATGTAGTGTACTTGTGGAGCACTTGCTTGACATGTGTGAGGCCCCAGATCAATCCCCAGAAGCAGAAGGAAAAATAACACGAAAATACATGAGTTATCCTCTTCATTGTTTCATGGTACTGGGTTCCCAACGCTCAGTCCTAAAAGTTAAGCTTTCTACAGTCCATGAAAAACTATTACAAAATTATTAACATGTGAGTATGCTTTTGCTGCTCATATAGTGGGTCCAGTTGGATGTGAGATTCTTGCTTAGGATGAAGGATTACACTTAGTTTTGCCTGCTTCATCGTACAAGTGATATCATTGCTGAGAAAACAAATCTCTTGGCTATAGACTGGTTAACTGCATTACCCAACAACTGGTTTAATGACAGAAAAACATACTTCTGCCCTTGGCTTTTCGTGTGAGTCACAACACATCATGGCCCTTAGTAAAGGTGTGTGTGTTATCATTTCATTCCAGTGGATGGTGACACAAGAATTCATGCTGAAGGCTGCCTTGACTCTCTTTGCCAGATTTACCATCAGCAATGGGCTACAGACCCAGCACGGGGTGTTTGAGATCACACTGGAGACTGTGGACAGAGCCTTGCCTGTGGTGACCAGGAACAAAGGACTGAGGCTGGCCCAAGGAGCTGTGGGCCTGCTTTCCTCTGACCTCCTTCAGCTGACTGACCCTGACACACCTGCAGAGAATCTGACCTTCTTTCTGACCCAGCTCCCAAGCCATGGGCACCTCTGCCTTCGAGGGAAACTACTTCAACACAGTTTCACCCAGCATGATGTGGACAGCAGGGGCGTGACTTATCAGCACTCAGGAGGCCGATCCCAGGTCGACTGCTTTACTTTTGTGGCCACAGACAGGACAAACCAAGGCTTTGTTGTAGATGGAAAAGTGTGGGAAGAGCCTGTGCGGTTCACCATCCAGGCAAGTATGGCAGACAGGTAATTCACACCAGCATGACAAGAAAGCCCTTTCCATTTCCTTTCTTCCTTGCCCCTGTCATTAAGACCCACACTGCACTCTACAGCCTGCCAGGCAGTCAGTGTGACTAAGCGTTGTGTGTGGGCAGTGCAGGAAGGAGCCAAGCATGGGTAGACCTCGGTTTGAATTTCTGCTTTGCCATTTACTCTCCATGAAATGAGTTTTTTGACTCTTCTGAATCTGCTCCGAAAAGCATGCCTACTGTGGTAGGAGTTTAACAAGATTAAGTATCCAAGGCATGATGCCTGAAATATGTTTGAGGTACATACAGGGCATTTGTAACTATGTCATCAGGCTGATGCTGTGTCATCTGTGTCTTCCACTGGCATTTTAACAATTTTGAATTAAACATGGAAGCATGGAAAGATCCAAGGCTACATCAGTATCACCTAGGCACTAATAATGAAGATGATATTAGCAGCTATCTTTTTACCATCTTTTAGTTCTTTGACAGTTTTCATGTATGTAAGGGGTTTTAGTCGTTTCACTCCCCCATTTTCCCCTCTCACCCCCTCACTCTTCTGCTGAAACCCTTCTCCAACAAGTCTCCCGCCTCCTTTCATATCGTCTTCCTGTGCATGACTCACAGTGTCTAGTTATAGTTGCTTGCATGAGGGTGGGTTGGGAGTTATTTACTGAGTATGGGGAACTTATCCACAACCACACAGAGGAAAATTATATGTGTGTAATGGTTACTCCCTCCCGCAGCAACCATTAACTGCAGTAGTGCCTTAGAGAGGGATGGGCCTCATATGCCTCTCCCCATCCATGAAGAAATGATATGAGCTCCGTCTTGTGCATATCTTGCACTGATAACTACAGCTGTAGTTAGTTCATGAATGACACGGCCATGTCATGTCCAAAAGGTCTTTTTCTAGCACGTCGCTCCATCCTTTCCAGCTACGAACTTTTAGAACTTATTATTTAAAAGCCAACCAAGTCACATAAGTCCCATTTGATTTTCATAAAAATTTCATGAGGTAGGCTTTATTTTCCCTATTTTATATCTCTACTTCAAGACACTCTCTGACTAGTGAAATAGTCATAGTTTCCACTTGCTCTTTAGTCTCTATTAGGATTCTGCAGAGAAATAGAAAGCATGGCTGTTTGTATGTGCATGCATGCAATATATACACTGCACATGTTTCTGTGTGGGATAAATAATACTGATAGAAAATGAGAGACACAGAGAATGTATGTGTGAAAAACAGAGACACACAAGGGAAGATTGATTTAAGGAATTGACACATGTAATTAGAGGTCCTTGAATGCCCAAGATATACAGATCAAGCAAGTCAGTAGACTAAACATTGCAGCACAAGGTGATGTTGCAGCCTTGAATCCAAGAATAGTCTAGAGGTACTAGTCTATGGGACCGGCAGGTCTGGGCGGATTTTCAGTAAATCCAACCTCAGTTATCATGAGACAGGCAGAGCTTTCCTTTGGGAAATCTCAGTCTTTTAAGGTTGGCAATGGATTGGATTATGGAAAGCAATCTACTTTACTCAAAGTCCATGGACTTACACATTGATTGCACCTAAAATATTCTTCACTAGATCATCTAGACCCATGGCCTAGAAAACTCATAAATTTAACCTTCAGGTCTCTAAGGTGAAGAGCTACAATTACAGAATGGGTGTGGATATGTCTTTGGCATTATGAAGACTGAGAAAATATAATGAAATGCAGATATTCTGGGACAGGAAGGATGGTGTTGATGTCATTGATACAATGTCAGTGCAATGTCTAACAAGGAATAATTTCCTTGGTTTGTTTGGCTGCAAGTTTCTAAGGATTATAAATTCTGAGTGCAGACACAGAACGCCTTCCCGTACTCCAGAACAGAGGTGGGAGTGGCAGTAGAGTTGGGAGAATGCGCTGGAACTGAAGCCAGGTCTCTCCCAACAGTGTTCATCTCAAGGAACAAAGTTATTTGAAGAGAGTTAATTATTTCTTAGAAGTTGTGAAACTGACTAACAGGAATATGTTGGCTGGGTGTTAAAGTCAAGCTTCTTTTTCATCAAAACTACAAGATTTCTCTTGCAAAAAAAGTACATTATGTTTTAAACCTTTATAAGGAAAGCCTTCGATTTTGTTCTCAATTTTTTTGAGCCCCTCGTTCCTCAGAATGGAGGTCAAACACCCTACCAGCAATATAGGAGAAAAGATACCAAGAGCTTTTCCTGTAAAGACAATACAGTGTTGCCTGCCACCAAGTGATAGACTGATCCAAGTAAGTGTACCAAACATGGATCAGCCGCTTCCATGGTGGTGTGTGACCGCAGACAAGGCTGCGGTACGTGGTGAGTGGAAAACATGGGTGTGCTTGGCTGACACCAGCAGGTGCACGCAACCTTCATTCTGTAGGAGAGCCTGTCTGTTTGCACGAGACTGTTGCAGCCTGTCATCTTCTGTGACTAGGACACGGCTTGCATGAAGGAAGCACCTGCCATTGCGTCCTATGGGACCTGCAGGTCTGGGAGGATTTTCAGTAAATCCAACCTCAGTTATCATAAGACAGGCAGAGCCTTCCTTAAAAATAATGTCTTATAGGCTAACGTTTTAAAAGCTTCTGGTATACCGAGTTAGAGGACCTGCTTTTGAAGAAATGTTTGATAAGACCAAGATGTATCTGAGCATGCCAATGGCCATGTGAAGAAAGTTCATCTAGTAAGGCATTTTTTAAAAAACAATTTACCACAACAGGCATTTACTACTTTTGTAATATTTGTGTTTTTAAGAAAGATGTAACAGGGCTGGACACATGGCTCAGTGGTTAAGAACACTGACGGTTCTTGCAGAAGACCCGGGTTCGAATACCAGCGCCCACGTGGCAGTTAACAATTGTCTGTAATTACAGTTCAAGGGGGATCCGATGGCCTCTTCTGTCTTCTGTGGGCATTGCAGGACACAGGTGCACTTACACACATGCAAGCAATACATGCATACACATAAAATAATAAAAATTTTAAAAAGAAAGATGTAACACAAAAACATTTTAAAACAACAATCCTGCTTTCTGCTGTTCATCATCTTTGGGGATACCAATGTGACATAGAGTGTTTTACTTCTTCCTCTTACCTGCGCCAGCTCTCTTCCTTGTCACCATGCTGTGGGAGCATGAGGACATTCACATCCTGCTCAGCCTCACAGTGCTGAAAGACATGTGTACAATTTTCACATACAGATCCACTAAAATGTTTTTACAATAGCAATTAAAACAAATCTAGAGAATATAAACACTCTTTGCATGTATATAGTTTTGTGCCTGTGTGTATGTATATTTGTGTGTGTCTGTGTGTGTGTGTGGCATGTTCATGTGTGCATGTGTTCCTGGAGGCCAGAGGCTGACAGTGGGAATCTTTAAGCATAGTTCATTTTATTTTACTAAGGTAGAGTCTCACTGATCTTGGAGTTTTCTGATTCAACTCATCCGGCTAGCCAGCTTGCCACAAAGTCCTGCCTCCTCAGAATGAGGACTCCCGGCAGGCTCCATGCCCACCAGCTTTTATGTGGGTTTTGGTGATCTGATCCACATGCTTGCATGGCAAGTGATTTATGCACGAGGCCATCTTTGCAGCCATCCCTCTGATACCTCCCTCTCCCAGGAACAAATGAACCAAACCAAACAACAACAAAAACATTGTATACACATCTAGTTATTTCTGTAGGGTAGTTTCTAGAGAAAAAATTTTCCAGCTCTACCAACAAACTATAAAAATACCTGCTTCTTCACATATTGATCAGAAAAGCACCTCATCAGTCTGAGATGAAAACAAAATTGTTGTTCCACACAGAAGTCAATAAAGGAAGAGCTGTGATTTTTTTTTCTACTCCAGAACAGATAAGTTTTGTGAAAATAGTCCTAGATTTTAGTCAATGTCTGTACAAATATATTTACTTTTAATGTTTTCTGTTTTTCCAGTTGTTGATTTTTAATATTTATTTGTGGGGGAAGAGTTTGCATGTGCCACAGAGCATGTATGGAGGTCAGATGATAGCGTAGGGGGTCAGTTCTCTTCTTTTACTATGTGGTTCAAGTCTGGAACCCACTAAAACATCTTGCAGACCCGAATCTTTTCAAGTAACACAAAATTTTGGAATTTTAATTTATTTATTCATCTTACCCTTGTTCTTTTTTAAAATTTTAGTTTATTTTTATTTTATGTGTGTGAGTGTTTTACCTGAATATAAGTGCACCATGCATGCAATGCCTCCAAGGCCAGAAGAGGGCATTAGACCCCCTGGAAAGAAATTACAGATAGCTGTTAGCTGCCATGTGGGCGTTGGAAAGCAAACGTGGGTCCTCTGCAAGAGCAGCCAGTGCCCTTAGCGGTTGATCCACCTCTCCAACCCGTTCCTGTTCTTCTTAATTGAGCAGCTAATTATGTCATAATATACAGTGATGCATATGATCTTATTGTCGAGATTAATTACTTCAATAGGGTGACTAAAGTTACAGTAACATCATTTAGGGATACACAAAGAACTGAGAGGTTGGGCATGAGGGGATGGAAGGTATCATTCTTGCACCTGTTTTCTAGGATATACTGTTCAAATCTGCTCCATCCTTAGCCTACAAAAATCATTTGCAAGACTGGCTGAGCTCCAAACTGACAAGCATACCTGTCCATTCACCACTCTCAAAGATCTAGTCCACCGTTGTGTCACCTGGCTCTCATCCTCAGTGAAACGCTATGCAATCTGAAGATAATTACTTTCGTGTTTTTGTCATAAGTTATTTCTGTTTATTCAACACTTTCGCCATTTGAACAAAGACATGAGAAGAGGCTATGTAACTGTAGTCCTTGTGGTTCTATTTGTATAAATCATTAAACATGGGGAATCCTTCTGTGGTGTCTACCTAAGTTTACAATTCAATTCTTGGGTTGGTTTTATCATATCTCTTGGGCTTCTGCTACGGCTCAAGCATAGTGAGTGCCAGGTGCAGGGAATAGGGTTTTGGGTGAGAAAATAAATTATTTGCCTTCATTAAACTTATATCCTGAGGAGAGTCAGACTTGAGACAAATTCATCAAACTGGGTCAAGATTTACAAAACAAACCTAGCCTGTGCTCTAGGCACTGTATTTGTTGAGATATAGCAAACAAGACAGGCTTTGGCAGAAATCAACAGATGAGGAGTCTAAGCAATCTGAAGTTGGAGAGTGTGCCATGAGAGCCCTGTGTGGCCTAGGGATGGGCCCCTGGAGTAACATTGATGTAATTCTTCAGGTAGACCAGTTGGACAAAACAGTGCCCCAGATCACACACCTGCGTTCCCCTTCTCAAGTGGGGCTTCTGAAAAATGGTTGCTATGGCATTTATATCACTTCCCAAGTGCTGAAGGCTTCAGACCCTGACACGGAGGATGACCAGATCATCTTTAAAATTTTACGAGGCCCACTGCATGGACATCTACAGAATACAACAACAGGTACACACTTTCTTAATCCTTACAACTGCTCATTTTAGACTACCAGTGGCTGGCAGGGGCTAGAAAGTAATTCAATTAAGTATAGGCCCATTGGATGAACATTCCCCAGGGCTTGCCAATAGATTTGGTATATACATCAATATAGGTGTTAAAGAGGGTTTAAAGCTACATCTTCCTAAATTTGTCTTGATGAGGAGAAGCAAATACTGGCACACAGCAGTTCAATGTTCACTGAGTTTTTAAGATTATATTCAGAACACACAGTGCCAGGGTCAGATTCATATTTATGACTGATTTTTTTTCTACTATGAATCCTAAATGATATAAGTTCCTTTTAAAATTTTGATGTTATCCTAGCAGTTTTTCTAGACTGTGTATTATTTCTGTTTTATGAAGGCAATAATACGGATTTTTATTATTGTAATTTCCTGTTTCCTTTCTCTTTAGTTTTATATTTTAAGGCAAATAGCTCTAAAGTAAAGCAGATTTAAAGATTAATTTGAGTTCATTGTACTTGAGTTTTAACATAGACACAGTAATGTTAATTTCTTTGGAAAATGTACTTTAGCTATTTGTTTATTTGAGACAAATTCTCATGTAGACTAGGCTAGCCTCAACTTCTATTAAGTAGCTGAGGGTGACCTTGAACTTCTCCCTCTACATCCCAAGTCCTAGGATTATAGGTATGTGTCATCCTGCTGGGTTTATAGTGCATTGGAGACCAAATCCCAGGCTCCATCCATGCTAGGCAAGCACTCTATCAAACTGAGCTACATCTCCAGCCCTGGGCTATTCTTTAAAGCTGTTTCAAACACAATAGCTGTACTTTTCTGTCAGTTCTTAGATAATGTTTTATTTGATTGCCCATGAGAGTCATTCATTTCTTTCTTGTAGGTGAACGTATCCATGATAAATTTTGTCAGAAGGACTTAAACAGTAAGACCATTCTTTACATCATAAGCCCGTCTTTGCAAGTAAATTCTGATATCTTGGAATTTCAGATCATGGACCCCACAGGGAATGCTGCCACTCCTCAAATGTAAATTCTTATTATTATTCATTAATCATGTGTCATGTTTAGAATATATCTGATTAAGAAAGTGAAATAATCTTTTTCAAACTGAACATAACAGGATAAATTGGTAGGCTATTCCATGAGCTTGTATAGTATTTTTTGGAGAAGGAATTTTCATTTTATTGTTGCTAGACAGTGGGAAAGCCATGAGCTTTCAGAATAGAGAACATTAAAGGTTGCTGAGCAGCATCTTTTTATTATGCCTGCAAATGTGTTCTGTTTCACACACTCTTAGCAGCTTGCTGCCATCCAGGACTAAGCTTGAAGCTCATTGCACGCAGTGCAGCCAGAGGTCACTCTAGGACTGTGTTAGTAACCGGGGTCTCCTACCCGATCTGAAATATCTAGTGGGCAGAAATGAAGTGGTCAGGAAGGCCATCCAAATACTCTCTCTTACAAAAACAAATACAACACATCTGTCTCTGTAAGAGTATAAGTCTTATGGGCAAGAGGGAGATAGTGAGATGGCAAAATAGGCTTGGGGAGATATCGGTCATATTGAGAACTCTGTAATGTGGGATGTTTACCATAACAAGAATAACAAATCCTCACAATTAACAAGGTTATCAGAACACAGTCATTTCAGTTACTGGGCCTTTCCAGATGCTTCTTGCATGCATACCATGAATAATTTACTGATGGACAGATGGTCATATGGAGGCACATCGGTCCACTTCTTAATACTGCATTTTTCTCTTTTTATTTGATGCCTTTTGAAGACGCCTCAAAGAAAAGTTGCTCACTTGTCCTAAATTTTGTGTTGTCTATATCCCAGGCACTTAGGGTGAGTGAACACATCCCTACTGTGCTCCTTCCGTGACCGGGCATTTTTTTAACCATCCTGAAGTGCAGTTCCACCATCCACCAGCAGAGGTCTCTGTAGTCATTGTTAGCAAAATCTGGTGTCCCCCTCACCAAGCACGTTCCTTTCTCCAGTACCAGTCTCAAGGGCAGACTTCACGGGTTTATTACCTCATTCCATAGACTTTTGCCAAGCAGTCACTGTCCCAAGCTCACAGTACTAGGAGTTAGGAAATAGGCATGAACAAAGAACACTCGACCCCTGAAATGAAAATGTAATCCCGAGGCTGTAAAACTAGAACGGCCGATCCCCACCCATTAAACTGTCTTTGCCCAAGAGAACCAGTTACTCAGGGTCACAGTCTAAAGGACGATAGCACTGACTTGCAGTTTCAAATACATGTATTAATTCTCAAGAGAAACGTTTAATTTTCTAAACATATTAATAAATTGACTTCACTTAGCTTCACAGAATTTTTTCATTGTTCAACTAAAAAACATAGTATTGGTCAGGCTTGCCCCTGACCTAATGCAAACCTTTCGTTCTGCATGTGATCAGTGTAGATAACAGATTTTCCCTAAGCTATGGCATTAGGTTGATATTGTTCACTCACACACCCTTTTCATACATGACTTATGTTTTTAAGTAACCCCGAAAGTTACTCTGGAAAGCCATAGCAGAGTCTACATAATATAAATAATGTGATTATCACTTGGATGCAAGCTGTCTTAAATTGGAGCCTGCTGGTGCTGGGAATCACTTCCCACATACTCAAGCTGCAGATGTTGCCAAATGACTAGAACCAACGGAGTAAAGTGCCTACAAAGGGCTAACATGAACATGACTTTGACTTGGTTCTCACGTACTTTGTTACTGTCTTTAGAGTAGGCAGGCAGAGTAGAAATTACTCTGCAATTACCTCCATGTTTGAGTGGAATAGTTGCTCCTAAGCGCTTTTGTTCTAGATGTTTCCTGGGACTAGGTCCACATTTTTCTGATAAGAGACAAAACGAGATGTTCAGCAGGTAGAGGCACTTGTTTGAAGGCCTAATGACCTGAGTTTAATCCCCAGATCTTAATAGGTAGAAAAAGACAACCAATTCGGAAGAATTGTTCTCCAACCTCTACATATGAGCAGTGGACACACACACACACACACACACACACACACACACACACACAAACTTTAAAAAGAAACAAAATTCTAAATACTGGTTTGTCTTCACAAAACAACCAGCAAGAGCCTATTTATATACACAATATATTTGATGCTTTTTCTTGAGTCATTACAAGTTTGTATGAGTTGGGCATCATCATAAGCTAGAATTTACAGGTGAGGAAACTGAGGCACTGTCCTGGAAGGGACTTTCCCTCCTGCCACTGATTAGGGAGGGAGCTGTGATTTAGCCCAGGTAGGAAGTATAGCATCAGTGCACACAGTCTGTGTCCAGCGCTAGCCCCTTACCCTTCTTTAATGATTTCTTCTCAGGCGCTGACTATCCTGACCGCAACAAAGGAGCAATACTCACCTGTCAAGGTCCTTAGGGTTCATCCAGGCTTTTGTGAAAATGTGAATATCAGAAAGCAACATTAGAGCGCCCCCCCATCTAATGCCTTTGGAATGGTGGTGTAAATAATAAACCTTTGAACTTGGAGCTGCACAATAGGGTCTGAGTTTAGCTCTTCCATTTATTGACTATTCCAGACAGTTTTCTGATCTGAACAACAGGGGCCATGCCACATTTAGTTTAGATAAACAAAAATGAGGTCTGACATTTGAAAGCATCTTGTAGTAATTATTATTATTATTGTTAATTCATATGAGTATTCATGTGAGTTCAAATGACTGGAGAAGTAACCTGAAGCATTTGGTGGATTAGAAAGCTCATTTCTACCTGGAAATTGATTTGAGATGAGTCGCAAAGTGAACAGTCCATACAGCCATTCATCAGTAAGCTGAACGCTCTGCTCTGCTATTCCATTTCTTTTCCGTATCAGATCAATAGATTTTCCATGTTACCAAACGCTACGATGAAAAGCTGGTTTTTTGGCGAAATTAACTGAGTTACCGGTGGCTGGCTAGTAGGTGTGCGTGTTTAACTGAGTCATATCCCAAACCATGGTGCTGGTTATGTTGACTGAGAGTCTGAGAGAGGGGTTCATGATGCACCATGTGTCACCCTAACACCTCCACCCTTGCCCTCCCCTACACAGAATAATGTGGAGTCTTTCATGGAATGCATTTAGAAGACAGTGTCATAAATAGAAATTGAAACACTGAAACCCATGGAAATTTGCGTTAAGATTTGGACTTGGCTAAGTGCCTAAATTCTACACACTGGGCTAAGTACTTGAAAAGCAATCCTCCAAAGGTAATAAGAAAATCAAGCTCAAAGCATTTAAGTAATTATCTCCAAGCCAATGGGAGAGTGACAGCTAACCGTGAACCCTGACCTCCAGACCTCAGAGTGAACAACTGTTACTGACTTTTTGCCCCTCCCCGCTCCTGGCATGAACCTGGCTAGCTTGAGTCTGTTCTCTGGCCCATGCTGACTCTCCAAGCGATTCCCAGAACCCCCATACAAGTTCCCAGGGCCCACAGCCCTCATCAAAAACATCTTTGTAGACCACAGAATGTAGCCAACTTAAACCAATGCAATTTTCTTAGTACGTGTTCCACGTGGATCTCTTTATTGTATCCACCAAGAAAAAATTAACTTCAAAAGAAAAGTCGATCCCTATGGACCTTTTGAGCTAGTGGCTTCACCAGCACGCTGGCGGATTCCTCTCGGGCAGTCACATCCCAGCTGCTCTGTTACTCATTCTTGGCTTTGAAAGAGAGAATACGAAAAAAAAAAAAAAAAAAAAAAGGAAAGGAATTTCTATCAGGAAAGACTTTGAAATGTTTTAGCAAGTTTTATGAAACACCTTGTAGGGGAAGAGGTTGAAACTATTGGCTCACTAATGCCTGTGTGTTACCTACATACAGCCCAGAGTTAACATGTTTATCCCCAGTCTAGATCTAAGGAAAGTACAGAGGAAGGGAAAGAAAATAGCACTTATTAAGCACCCACTGTGTACAGGTGCTTTATACATATTAACTAATTTTAATTTTAATTGTTCGACATGAGTGATTCTCGTTTTAAGATAATGAAAACTGAAACCCAGAGAGAACAAGGAAGTGACTGTCTTCACACCCTACCAAATGGCTGCAAGGTGTGTGTGATTCCAAAGTGCTTGATTTCTCTGCTCACTGCTGCCTCCTGTCTAACCACTCCTTTCCCACTATCAGAGAAAATGAACACTGGAAAACACAGGTGTTCAAAGCATGAGATTATGAGGCTTAATAGCATCATCTTTGAATTGATAAACCTTAGATAGACTGCTCGGGAAAAAAAATTGTAGCATTTCAATTTTCTGAAGCCAGATGCTACTTGATAAGTGAAGATCTAGTTATAAGAATAACTTAATCACAATTTTAGCTTCTATAAAACCTTTTATTGAGAAGCTCAACATACTTAATGAGCACTCACGAAAGTTCATTTAACCCCTTTGAAGTATGATTCATCTTTGTTATGTGTTGAGAAGTGAGGGAACTGACGCGGAGTGAGGTTAAGTGTGCTTACTAACCTAGATTAGTGTCCCAGATCCCAAACTGGTGCTCCAACCCCATGTATTTCTTTCTGTTCATTGCTCTTTCATACAAACTAATCAATTATCCATAAAATAAAATATCAAAAAGCATAGATCTTTTTCAAAATTGTAGAACAAGATCGTTCAACCTTGGCACTCTCAGCATTCAGGAAAAATAATTCTGTCATTGGTCAACGTCCTGTGCAGTGATGTTAAGCAGCATCCTTGGCCTCCATCCAGTGAATGTCAATTAATACCATCCACTCTGCCACGGTGACAGTCAGCATTGTCAGCAGATATGCCTTAGAGAATGACATATATACTTGATTAAGAAATCATACTTTTGCCGGGTGTAGTGGTGCACGCCTTTAATCCCAGCACTCGGGAGGCAGAAGCAGGCAGATCTCTGTGAGTTCAAGGCCAGCCTGGTCTACATAGTGAGTTCCAGGACAGCTGGGGCCACAGGGAGACCCTGTCTCAAAAAAAGAGACCCCCCCAAAAAAAAAAGAAATTAAGAAATTGTTCTAACTGAATACTGTCTATTGATGCCATCTTTCTCTCTAATGAGGCCTAATAATAGTCAAAGAACAAAGAGCAAATCAGGGTTAAAAGGAATGTGTGAGGGTCTTCTAGCCTAGATTATTTTCAGAGTATATGAAAGATGTTAATGAAGTTGGGAAAATCTACTGGTGGTCATCTTAGCTTAGGAAACAGGACAGTAAACAAATGTTGGTTGACCACTCTGTGACACTTTGTGTCTTCTATACTCTACAAGCAAGTTGTCATACATCAGTGACCCAAAGGCCCTTTCTTTGGAGCATGCTTACCATCAAATAAACTAGGCAGGATGCTAGACATGATTCATGCTTTGAAAAATGAAAAAGTTGATCAGGATAAGGCCAATTGAAAATACAAGATTTTGTAAAGAAGTTGCAAAGTTAAATTAGCTGTCTATACAGATCTTATGCCTGACCACTCAGAGTTAGCCAGTAGCAAAAGCCTCATGACATGAAACCCAGTTTCAATGCCTTCCATTTCCAAAAGTGGTTGTTGGAAACCAAAACTTAGCATTCACTCTGAATCATATTTTCTATTGTGATGAGTTACCCACCCCAACCCCTCACAACTGATAATTCTCAACTAGAGGTGTCTTCCTCCCAAGGGACATTTGGCAAAATCTGGAAATAAGTTTCGATGGTTGTGACTAGGGGAAAGCATGAGACTACATGTCCTTTGTGGAGATCAGAGATGCCACTTGCTAATTATCTTGCAGTGTACAGCTCAGCGCTGACAACCTGACTCTGGTGTCCTGAGCGTGAGTTGGAGGAGCCCTGACCTAGGGGCTCCTGCTAAGTGACTTGAAATGTTCACCAGATGCCCTTCACACACAGGCTCATTTCTGACCGTAGAATTGAGCTTTACTCCCTTGTAATAGGATTTATTCAATGTGATGATACCAACCAACTCTTACCTACATGATACCCAGTAACAGACCTTTCCAGATTGTTCCTATGGGCTTCTGCAGCTGAATATTTACCTGATGGCAACCCTATGACTGTGTGGATTCTTGCAGACACAATTCCAATTGACTACCTCTTTTATTTTCCTTGCAGGTATATGTGTAGTTTAAGACTACAAAGAATGTCTCAAGTGCCTTACTGAAAACACACACACACATGCACGTGCGCGCACACACACACACATCACATTCAGAACATGTTGCACACATCCTGTGGGTGTGGAAGGCTTTGCTATTTAAATATTTTTCTGGAAAATCTATAGCCTGGATTAAATTTCATGGCTTTTCTAAAGATCTTTATTATTTATAGTGAATAGTTTTGAGAAAGTAAAATAGAACGTTGTGTGGTGACGGCCTCAACCAGCAAGCATCAGGCTGCATTCAGATGGCGCATCCATAAAACGCACACTCTCCTGAACACTGAGATTCTTTGTGCTTTGAAGCCAAACAGCCCTCTGAATTATTCCCTTCTGGACATAGATCAGCAATCAAATTGCATTTAGTTTTAGGCCTTGAGATCATTTGGATCTACAGAGTGGCATTGATGAATTCCTGCTTGTTAGGGTTAGCATCAGCAATGGATGGATTGACAGAATCTGACATTGGAACTCATTTGACCCTCAGGAGACTTAGCTCAGATCCATCCAAATATATTGTTTTCACTCTTTTCACTGGCCCCTTTCCTTCCGTTTACCCTTTTGTCTTCCCCTAATCCCTGTGACTGATGGTTTTGCTTTCTTGTTTCCCTGGATCTTTTAGGAATTCTTTACAACGTGTTGCTTCTATTGGCATTTAAGTTATCCTTGTTGGTTGTTATTTTATAATGCTTTAAGCATGTTTATGTATTTGTTGATCTGTTTCATGCTAGATGTAAATTTGGTTGAATCAAGTACCAGTGAACCAATGTTCTTATCATAATGATGCTATTTCCATGTGAAATTTTTATGAAATCCAGCATGTAATAACAACGTTCTGTGACTATTAAATAAGTGTGTATGCACACACATGTATATCTTCTGCCAAATCCCTATAGTAATTCCCTGCTGCAGTGTTTCCCTACCCCAGTCCATCATCCTTAGGTAAGAACTTTCTTTGTATGTGTAGTTGTGACAAGTGACCCCCATCAGGATGGAGAGCTAGTTGCTGAACCTTTCTGAGGTTTGGTCTTATTCATTTTTGAAAAAACAAAAGTTCCTCTTTAGATGACAACCATCAAAGATGACAATTTCCATCAAATTATGTACTTACGAAATATATTACAGAAATAATTATTAATCATATTCAACTGTATACAGTTGGCCCTTCATGTCCTAAGGAGGTTTCGCAGATCTAATCCATCATAGTTGAAAAATATTTATTAAAGAATAATATCTGTACCAAGTGTGCACAGACTATTTTCTTGTTGTTAGTCTTTAAACAACATAGTCAATCAACTATTTACTGTACGTTTATTGTGTACTTGATATTGTAAGTAATCTAGAGATGTGTTAAAGACAGAGAATGATGTGGTTTAGTCTTTAAACAACATAGTCAATCAACTATTTACTGTACGTTTATTGTGTCCTTGATATTGTAAGTAATCTAGAGATGTGTTAAAGACAGAGAATGATGTGGGTAGGTTCTGTGGGCTTCTGCATCAGCAGAGAGTCCTGGAAGCATTCTTCTTTAGACACTGAATGGTGAATAGAGTCATGCTAGCACACCTCTTCTACATGCACAGAAAGAGAAGCAGACAGCAGTCACAAAGCATGTTGACACTTCAATTCCTGGGCACATCCTGAGGATAACTTTTACTAAAGTTAACCCAAGTTCAGGAAAGATCTGTGTCTGGAAAAGTCTTGTGGCAGCACTAACGGAGGCAAACAATAGGAGATGCACATCCGTGTCTCTCTGACATGAATGACTTGACCTTCACGACTCCTGTTTCCTTTCCCTTCATCACAGATGTGGGACCTTCGGAAGTCATTTAACCATACTTATTTCATTTGTAAAAAAGAATTTCTAGAACTTTCTCACACAGGGCTATTGTAAAGATCAAATAAGATAGTGCAAAAGTACATCGTGAACAAACGTATGAAATAAGTGTGAGGGATTTCTGCCATTGGCATTTGTTGGCCAAACCCTTTTGCTACCTTGATGGAAATCAGTTCCCAGTCTTTCACTCAACTGACCACCCTGATGGACATTCTTGTGCATGCCTTGTGATCACCTTTCTCCTTTATTTCATACACAGTTTGGAACTGAGGTGGTCTCATATCGAATGGTCCCAGACTGAATATGAGGTCTGTGAAAATGTGGGCTTATTACCCTTGGAAGTTACCAGAAGGGGATATTCCATGGACTCAGCCTTCGTGGGTGTAGAGGTAACAGCTCTATAATGCAAATTGTTAAGCTAAAATCCATGATGTTGGTTGGTACCTTTGATGATTTTCTTAGAAAAATTTAGAGTGACCAAGGCAATTGAACTGCAGGGGTGTCACTCTATTCTCAAAATTTTAAGTACAAAATATCTGTGTCCCTTCAACCTCCATTTAGGTTCATTAATTCATGACAAAATTTTTAAATATTTTATTGTTTTCATTTTGTGTGTAAGAGAGTATTGCCAGCAAGTATATAAGTACACCCATGTTGTGCAGTGCCCAGGGAAGTCAGAAGAGGACGTCCCTGGAACTGGAGTTATGATCAGTTGTCAGCCACCATGTGGGTGCTGGGAACCCAACCTCTAGCCCTCTGCTCCAGCCTGCTTTACAGATTTTTTTTAAAAACCATTTTTAGTTTTGAAATCTGTTAGTTTCTACATCTTCTTTAATTTTCCAAAGTTTGATTTCACAGAAAAATATGTCCAATTTAGTAAAACTGGATTAAAACTCTGCTTTGAAAAGTGTATACAACACTTTCTATGGGGCGCCTAAAACAAAGGTCAGTCCTCTGTGAATGAAACAGGATTGCTTCCCATGTCTCAGTGAATAAAAGCAAGAGAGAGAGAGAGAGAGAGAGAGAGAGAGAGAGAGAGAGAGGAGGTACTTTGTCCTGTTCTATTTACCTCCGTTCATTGAATTGTGCCCCTTCACCTGACCTGTTTTTCCAAACACTTTGCCTCAAACATTGCTTTTCCCACCTAGGATTCTGTAAACGCAGTCGTGGTAAATACTAGGTAATTGCATGTATGAGAACCATGCAGGCAAATAGAACTTCCAGCATATGGTGGATACAGGTGTACAATGGGCCACCTTTTCCCAGCAAAAGGTAGTTCTGGGGAGCCTTGGCATTGCAGACAAAGAGCAAATGGAAGTTTAGGAAGCAGTCCCTTCCTCAGCAGAATGTTTCCACTACAGGCCCCTTAGCCCCTTAGCACCTTTGATTTGAAATAAAGATGTTATCTGAGGCTACGTAAATGGGTATTTTAATGTTTAAAGTTGTGCACGCCATTCATTATTTAAGCACACAAATATATTATTAATTCACCTGACCATCCTTAATGTTTTAAAAATGTTGAAAATTAACAGCTGCCTGTTATGTTTGCCCAGGATTTCATTGGTTGACTTTTTTCGAACTAGCTGCAGATAGTATTTTAAAAATATTTCATTTATTATTTTTATTTTACGTGTATGCATGTATTGCCTGCATGTAGTTAAGTGCACCGTGTCGTGCAATGCCCACGGAGGACAGCAGAGGCTGTCGGATCTCCTGGAACTGGAGTTATGGACAGATGTTAGCTGCCATGTTGGGTTCTGGGATCTGAGCCCGGGTCTTTGCAAGAACAAGCAGTGTCCTTAACGGCTGAGCCATCTCTCCAGCCCCTGCAGATGCTTTTCAATGCACATTTAGGCACTCTCTGGGGCATTTAAGGCCGTGACTTCAGAGCCTTCCTTACACTTGCCTGTTTAGATTCCTGTCCTGGATCAGAGATGCAGGGGAGCAGTCAGTAGTCACTTAAGAAGAGGGCAATTTTTCCTTTTTATGGCTTCAGTGAGAGGGAACTCTAAAGCTGTGGGTCCACAGTGTGGATTGCCTTAAAGCATCTGTTTACCAGGTCTGTCAGTTCCACAAAGCTCTTATTCACAGTGGTGAAGCTTGATGGTTTCATCCTGCAGGAGCCTGTGCAAGACACATCTGGTTAATCTGGCCTAAGGGCTTTCAGCCCCTCGACCTTGCAGGGTCCCTCTAGGCGGATTGCCAGGGTCCACAGGCTGTCGGGCCTTCCTGCGTCCTCTCCTCCTTTCTCTCCCCGCTCCTGTGAGGCACTATTTTGAAACTAACTTGATGTGGAGGGAATTTTTTAATGAAATAAAATTGTGCTCATAACAAAGAGAACAATAAGGCTTTAAACTTCATGCTATTTTTTTTTCAATAATTGGGTCATTTTTTAAAAAAGAAGCAATAAGTTAACTTTAAGAAAAATCCTTATATAGTCTGAATCCAAAATGGTTTACTATAATTTTTTTTTTTTTTTCGGTCTTTTTGAGACAGGGTTTCCCTGTAGCCCCAGCTGGCCTGGAACTCACTGTGTAGACCAGGCTGGCCTTGAACTCAGAGAGATCTGCCTGTCTCTCCCTCCCGAGAGCTGGAATTAAAAGGCATGCACCACCACACCTGACTTACTATAATTTTTAAATCCTACCTAATATTAAAAACAGATTTGAGACCATGAATTTGGGCTAGTATGGGGGAGAGTTGATGTCTACTATAGGATATTTACTTTTGTTTTAAAAAGACATTTTTCCCCCCTAAGGTCAACCAAGTGTCAGCTACAGTTGGAAAAGATTTCACTGTAACTCCATCGAAACTGATTCAGTTTGATCCAGGTATGTTTTGTATCTACAGTTCATGTTCTGTAAGCAATTTGGAGACCGTGGAGAAGATAGGAAATTATGCAACTTCAGTCAACTAGATGACTTTGGGCCTGGAGTTCTGCTTTCTATTATAAGTGAATATTTATTTTAAATGAAAAGAAAGGTCATAGCAAATACTAGACATAAAAATATCAAAATAAATATCCAAAGCAACCCAGGAAAAACAAGATAATTTTAAAAGTGTTTCAGTAATTTAATTGCTACACATTTTGGTAGAAATGTTTGATGTCATAATTACATGGATTATTACAAGAAATTGGAATAGGTGGATGTAAGGTGTTTCTAGGGAAAGTTGTTATTTAATTAAATAACACTTTGCTTTAAGTATAGAAAAATTTTACTAGGTGTAATACGGCATCTTCTCTTGAAGATGTTCTACTGTGTACAGTACATAAACATGAAAATATTCACTAGCAGTAGTTTCAGAACCCAAGTTTAAGCCGTTGTTCTGGGTCAGGAAAGCTATGGAACAGTTCCCTAGGGAGGCAGTTCTAGTAGATGGAGAAGAAAGGCACTGGCTTAGCTCTGGGGAAGTCTGCCTGAAGCCCCCAGGCTGGACCCCATGCTTTCCTGGTTGGCTCCTGTGAGTGCACAGGTAAGTCTCTCTCCCACCCTGTCCTTCCCTATGGTCTGGAATGGACCTGGGCCACCCATCCAAGAGCAAAATGATAAGTCCTGGAGAAGCAGCCAGGACTTGTGGCACTGAAGAAATGCTCTGCACCCCAAGAACCCTCCACCAGCTGTCAGTGCTTGACACATCAGCCCAACACGTTGTTTCAGGCCAACACAGAAGGAAATGACTAAATATCGTTACCAACCCCAAACTGAAAGTCTTCATATTAGACAGGAAAGGAGCACTGTTCTGCTGTTCACAGCGAGAAACATAGCATCTGAGGGTGACATTGCTTTCCTATAACAATGTCACCAACACTCTTGCTCATTCTGCAAGCTCTCTTCTGCAGCCCTGCCATGAAAGGGTTAATGTCCTTTTTGGCATCCCCAACCTTCCTCTGTTTGAAAGTCAACAGTCTTTGCCCTTTGTCCTTTCTTTTATCCCTATATGTTGCAAGATCCAAAGTAACTTTGGCTTCTGTTAGGTTTTCAGCAACCCACCAGGTGCTCTGTTTGGATTGATAGGAACGAGAATGTGTCTCACTGGGGAGACTCGAAACTTACCTCTTGGAGATTCCATTGGATAAGATAGATGCTCATGTGTCTAAACAGTTTACACACTGTTTTGATAGATACTAATGACTTCTGGGGACTCTAGATGAGTTTATGATTTTAAAGATTGTTTGTACATTGAAAAGTAATAGAAGCATATTTTATAAATTTTTTAAAAGCATATGCTTGGCTGTTCATCATTTTGGAATTTATTAGGTCAGAAATAGTTTCATATTGTGAAGTCTGGTTTCAGAGAATTTTAAAGTTCTCAAAGTTCACAGGTCCAGTAAATGTTTATATACTCTCTTATTATAAATCCATGTCTCTTCTGATTCTGGTTTCCCCAGCTCCACCCCAACCCTTTGCCCAAAGCAATATGTTCATTTCTCTGGAAATATCAGCTTCCCTGATTCTGGAGAAACAGAATGAATGGGCCATCCCAGATCTGGGCTACTGTGAGGTTAGAGAGCTGGGGGGGAGGGGGGGCTGGCCAAAATGGCTTACTTTGTAGCTCTTGAGCCAAACCCAAACAGGAATCCTGAGTATTCATTCAGCTATTGAGATTAATCTTAAATACATACGTAAACACTCTTAAGAAAATGATTGCTTTCCTTTAAAATATGTGTTCTCAGGTTTGCTGTATTCTTAACGGAAATTTCATCATTCCTAAGAGTCAAAATGTTTTCCAAATTAACAGATCTCTAATGTGGCATTTGCTAAAAAATATTGAGAAAATGTCTCTCAATAGAGAAATCTGCTTCACAGGAAAATATCCAGAATTCACTTACTCTGTAAAGTAGGATGTGTTTGAACAAAATGGCACCTTTTGTTTTGTGGAAACGGGGAGGGGGCAGTTGAGGCCTTCTGAAAATGCAGGTATATCTCAGGAACTTAACAAATGCTTTGCACCTTGAAAGTTAGAGAAAGAGGAGACAAAACAGCCAGCATGAGGCTCTTACCTGCAGTCTCACTAACCCGGGAAGGAGGCACACACCTGGGAGGCTTGGAGCAAACTGAAATGTAAACCAACAAATCAGCCTGGGAAACAGATTTTTTTGTGTGTATTGGGTTTTTATTTAAATAATGCTTAACTTTCCAATGCTTGGAGGTCAGAGCAGTTCTCTGAATATTGGCGATCTTAGTGTTCACAAACTCACTTCCTTGTCCACTTCTAGCTGCCGAGAAGGTCCCCAGTGTCTCTGGATACTCAAACTTCACACAAAACACTCTCAAGTTCAGTTGGCTAAATCATCCACTTTCAGAAATCCACTTCCCAGTGTGAAGCTTCCCTCACTGACAGTTGTTTAAAGTCTGAATCTGGCCACCTGGTATCCAGGACTCTCTTGAGTCTGGCTGTCAAATTATCTGCAGCCTACAGCCTCCTGTCTCCGGAAACAACCTCTCTCCATCCAGCTGATCTTCTTATACTTCCCCAACCTCAACATGGCTTACTTCCTTAAATTGCTTCTCATTTCCTCCCCCTCAATCTGTTTGTGGACTCCCCCAAGTGCCTACTCAATGTACCTTCATTCTGTATCTTTTGTCAGTGGATCACATATGGCTTTTAATAGTTACTTGACTTTTCTTTTACATCTGTAGAAGGGTTACAGAATCTATGTGTTCCGCATCCACCTATCCAAACAAGCACAGATTTAAAAAAAAAAAAAAATTAAAAAAAGAAACCTGCCTGGATTGAATGCAGAGGCTTGATTTTCTTGTCATTATTTGTTGAACAATACACTATTTACGTGATGTTTTATATTAGTATTACAAACAAGCTAGAGACGATTTGAAGTTTGTAGGGGCATATATACAGGCTATGTAGAAGGAACTCAAGCATCTCCTGTGGTGTTTGGTGTCCAATGGGAGCCCTGGAACCAATCTTCCTGGATACCCAAAGATAGCTGAATTTGTTTTGTCTCCTCCAAGAAGTTCTAAGCTCCTTTAGGCCAGAACTTGACTTGTGCTATACTCCTTGGGTATGCCCCAAGCACTTAAGTATAAGACATACATTTTGATGAATTGATTCATCCATCCTTGAGATGGGAATATAGAATACTTTATATCAGATGGTTCAAATTCCATGTCTTTGGGAGACTGCAAAAGAATTAATCTGAAAACACAGTCAATACTGAAAGATTAATAAATTGTCAGCTTTTTTAACAAAATTATTTCAAACGCCCTTATTTTTTCCGTTGGAGGGCAGCCAAGTATAGGACAAGTGAGCAGTTTCAACTTCCCAATGGATTCTGCAGGGATTAATGCGACTCTGAACAGGCTTTGCGATCTTATGAGATACATCCTCAAGAGGGAGGCACCTTATAATGGCAGAGTTAGAGACATCAGTCTGTGAAGGCAATCTACAAGTGCAAAGTCACATTTACACAAGAGAAGGTTAGGAAAAAGCGTTATATAAGATTCATGGGAGAGAAAACGTTCAAGTAGTAAATGGCAGGGCAAACTTTGCAAGTTTAGCCCTGCAAAGCTAAACTAACTTTCCGCTCTTACCCCTCCCTTTAAGCCTCTTTCCCTAATACACAACCTGCTTACTTCCTGACTTATTTTCCCTTCTAAAATATTGGGAAAGCTGTCCTATAGCACACATCATAGACAATGGTAAGGACCGGGGTCGTTTCAGAAGTGTCTTCCAGCCTGCATATTTTCTGTTCTGAGCTTGGCCTTCCATCCCAGTGGCGATAGGTTGGCTGGGATACAGTGGTGGAATCAAAAGTGTTTTGTGTTAAATTCAAAAAGTTACTGTGGAACAAACTTGATTGCAACTCCATGATAGAGAAAGAGAGGGGGAGGGGAGGAGGGCTATCTATCTCTAAATCCTTAGGCATACAGTCTCTCCAGGAGGATATCAAACTTCCAAGTGTTACATCATCAGAGGATGCGGCTGTGAGTAGGGAGGATCCAGGGAGGTAGGGCAGCTGACACAGGCAGCTGTTAGATTCTGTGTAAAGTACCATTCAACAATCACTTCTGTCTGCAGCAACACCTTAAGATTTTACAACTATTAAGATTTTCAGATTGTAGTAACTACTATTTTTAAGAACAGAAAGGACAGGTTGAGGGTGAAATTCTGTCTGGGATCTTGTCTATTAACTATTCTCTTCTTCCCCTGCATAATGCAGCTTACTTTTTTGTTACAGTGTTTGCATTGAAACCCAATCATCATTGTCCAGGAACAAATGTGGTCTTTTTATATTATTTGGGAGAACAGCAGGGCCTCAGTGAGTTGGTGGCAGTACAATAGCTCACTCAGGCTACCACAGTCTAGCTGTAGACATGTTAATTAATATATTTCTCTGACACCTAGGTGATTGAAATAGCAATTAAAGAGTAATTAAAATGTTTACTTCTTGTAGGAATGTCAACTAAGATGTGGAATATAGCAATTACCTATGACGGATTAGAGGAAGACGATGAGGTCTTTGAAGTAATTCTGAACTCCCCTGTGAATGCGGTTCTTGGCACAAAGACAAAAGCCGCAGTGAAAATTTTGGACTCAAAAGGAGGTATTCTTTTGATCCTCATCCTGAAATCAGGAGCGGTCCTGGCGCCGCGGCTGCTGCCTTTCAACAGCCAACGTGCTTGATAACACCTTCAAATCAAAATGCTTAATTTCTTGTCAAGAAAGCAGCCTCCGTCATGACTCTGGTTTCTTTATTCTGGTTTCTGCTTCATGTGGTTTTCCTCCTGCTAAGAGCGATGGCTGCAGAAAAGCAACAAGTCAGTGCCATGGTCGCTTTTTTCTAATCGTTTGTTGTTCTCACAGAGGGGGAAACAATGTTGGTGAGAATCTATCGACAATTATTTCCCCCCAGAGTTAGCAGGGCTGTAATTATCTTTCTCTGTTAAAGAGAGCTCTCAATGCCTAAAACTGGAGCCCCCACTGTAGTGTGACCAGGAAAATTCTAAGAAGGGAAGGAATTGGAGAAAAATAGATGTGAAGATGCAGCTGGCTGGAGACTGGGGAGCAGCTGGAGAATACTAATGAAAGTCTTTGGGCTGCAGAGCCAAGCAGGTCCTGGGAAGGGTGTGCAGGAAAACAACCTAGGAACAAGTGAAATAAAGGCCAAAGCTCTTGGTGCTCTGAGCTTTTGTTGTGCTAAATTACTTCTGTTCTGGTTCCTTATCTGTGTGACATTCGATGTGTCCAGCACGGCACTCCACCTTACGCTTTTTAAAAACTGCTTGCCATGCCCTGTGATGCGTATTTTTTTTTTTTTTAACCTAGATTCTATCGCCTCCTCTCTCACCCTATGGGAAGCATGGATGCTCTCTTCTTGCCTTTATAATACCCATGTTTCCACAACATCTTTCCTCACCACATCTGTTTCTTTTCCAGTAGAAATTTCTAATCACAGTAAACACACAAAACATGTGAAATAAAAAATGGCCTGGGTTGGGAATATAGTTCAGTGACAGAGTGCTTGCCTGGCATGTGACTCTGTTTTGTTCCCAGTACTGTTTTGTTCCCAGTAAAAAAAAAAAAAAAAAAAAAAAAAACTTGACGGAGCTTCTAACTGGAGGTTGCTTTTGTTTGACTGGTTTTAGTTTTTGGTTTTTGCACAGTGGCAGCACAGGGGTGAGGGGGAGTGGTTCTTTTTTTAAAATTACATTTATTTATGGGGGTGTGTAGAGGTCAGAAAACAACCTTTAGGAATCTGTTTTCTCTACCATGTGGGTCCCAAGATCAAACTCAGGTAGTCATGCTTGGTAAGTACCTTTACCTGCTGAGTCATTTCACTGGCCCAATTCTTTTTTGTCATTTCCAGTGCCTTTCTAGAGCATTTCCAGAAATGCTATCTTTCTAGGGTTTTGTTCCATGGCAGTTGAATACAAATTTTTATAACGGTTTCCTGATCCATCTTTAAACAGTTCCAGTTCCTACCTCTAACTGAATGCTTTTGAAGTGTGTATGGATAACACCTGATCAGTGAGTAAGCCTGCGGTATTGATAAAAATCGCAGGAGGGAGGTGAGGCAGCTTTCTAAGTACCTGGTATGATTATAAAAATCATGACGATGATTTCCACTTATGATTTGTAAAATGGATTTCATGACTTTATAATCACCCTAACCATGTGCAGAAAGATACTGCTATCCCGGGTGGAAAATGATGAAGAGAAAAGGAGTTTCTGGCAAATGGCAAAAAGGCAACATCTGGTAGGAAATTCATCTGTCTAGGTTTAATGACAAGCTGCTCCAGGAACTGTGTCCACCCCATCACTTATGTGCTTATACAGTGTACTGATGGCCTGCCATCTTGTATACCTGCAGGACAGTGCCATCCTTCAAATTCCTTCAACCAAAGCAAGCACAGCACCTGGGAGAAGGGCTCTTGGCATCCACTGCCCTCAGGGTCATCCTCACCCACCACTGCTGGCTCTCCTCATCTGGAAAGAAGGCCCCCTCCATCTTCCAGGCAGCTGGTCATCACCAAAGGAGACACCCTGTGGGGCATTGATTCTACAGAGCTCTCTCAAAGGAGGCTTAGGACCCATGGGAACGGCAAAGCAGTAAGGATGGGGACCTTCTGGGAGTGGATGTGTGGATTCATGCTAAAGTGTTCTGAGACACTGCAGGATCTGTTTCGATTCTCATAGTAAGCAAGACCACAGTTCTTTGCAGAATCATGCAGTGCCTTTTGTGGTAGGAACATTGACTCAGTCATATGATTCCTGCTTTGGTTTCCTTTGTGATGAAGACAGAGAGGTAATAATCGGTGACCCTACAACAGAAGGGCATTTAAGTCATTCACTTGGATGTGGAAGCCATAACTTTGACCTTAGTGGCTGAGTTCTGATTAGACTTGATTATTTTTAAAATAACATTGAATTGGACATGTAAAATTCCATGAAACTTTTTTTTTTTAATTTGATATCCAGTATCTTACTGGAAGATTTGTTTTTCAAGTAAACTTTGCTTATATGCTGTCCTTTGCTGATTTCAGGTTCATCCATTCTCTGTTTTTAGAAATGGAACAGACATCATCTATAATGTAAGCATAGAGAATTGACAAGTTTCTCATATTTATGCATGAAAAATACTAAATGAAACTATTATGTCTTTTTCTCCCTCTTTATTCACATAGCTATAGATTTTGTTCTGAAATTTCTTTGTTTCTGAGAGAAGATTGGATAATAGTCAAGAAAAACTCTTTCATCTCTTTGCATTGATACAATCTTTGAATTACTCATTATTAGAACAAAAGATTTTGTTTGCCATCTTGACGCTTATTTTTTTTTTTTCCCTATTGTTATTTTCATGGTTTCCACAAGTATCACGGGATGGTCTCCTTGAAACTAGAGGGTGATAGTTTCTCGGCTCACAAAAGGAAGGCCAAAATGCCCATCATCAGCCAGCCACATGAGACAATCAGGGAGGCAGAACTGCCTCAAGCAGATAAGGTGGAATCCACAGCCAACTCACACTTTCCCAGACAGGTATGGAAGTCTTTTCTCCTTCCTGTTTGCCTTATAACAAACTGTTTGCTGGTCCATAAACATACTTAACTCACAAACAGCCTTCATGTTTGGGGACTGTTTACTACATGTAGTTGTTACCCAAAATGGGTAGATGTGTTTTCAATTCACAGAAAGTCAATTCTAGACTGTCTTTCTTCCCCACAGGGTCAGCGACCCCTGTTTCCAAAGAACTGCTCTGTGGAATTAAAGGGACTCTTTCATTTTGAAGAAAGCATCCATAAATTATATCAATGTGATGGAATTGCCTGGAAAGCCTGGAGCCCCCAGACCAAGGTGGGACACTGGCTGGGCAGCCAAGAACCTTCAGTTGCAGTATGCCCTGTGATGAGCTAGCAGAACAATCTAATGTGGCTGCCGATGCATGTTGTGTCTGCCTACCCATCTTATACTCTTTGAAGGCCAAGGGGAAAAACGCCCCAAAGTAGCTTTCTAAGATCACAAAATATAGTATTAAATCAACCAATTAAAAAAGCTGTTTACGGCCGGGCGTGGTGGCGCATGCCTTTAATCCCAGCGCTTGGGAGGCAAAGGCAGGCGGATCTTTGTGAGTTCAAGGCCAGCCTGGTCTACGTAGTGAGTTCAGGTCAGCTGGGACTATAGGGAGACCCTGTCTCAAAAAGACAAAAAAAAAAAAAAAAAAAAAAGCTGTTTACCTGCTTTGTTTACTCATCAGAAGGTGAGGGTTATAAAGTCAAACCTTTGCTAACTATGATGCTGTTCTCTGTGGGAAGCAGTTTATCTCTCAAGATGGAGTACTGCAGTGAGGTTTGCCTCTGCTCTGTTGAGGTTAGGAGACTGGCAGGGTTCGGAAGCGAGGCTGACTCTACCTTGTAGAGTCTATGCTGATGTGAATGCAAGCAACTGTTTTGCAGGGGCTGGGGGACAAGTCCTGCCCATCCGGATGGCACCTTCACTTGGGCTACTGTCACACCTTGATCACACGGGAGAAAGGCACCTGGGCCACAGCCACTCGAGCTTGCAGGGAACAGTAAGGAACACGTGACTGATATTTTCTTTATTTTCCCATGTACCTATGGGCCTGAATCATTCTTTCAACAAATATAGAGTGTCTCATGTCTGCTTTGACTGAGGGGCTTAACAGGAGTTTTGTAGTTCAGAACGAATTTTCAACTTGCCTTGTTACTATATGATGACTTAGTTCTTTTCGGTTACATCTGTACTATTGCCACATTTTTTCTTTTATGTCCATCTTTTTTAAGAAAAATCATAAGAGCTTTACTGAATCATCAGCATTGTAGGTTCTGATCTCTCTATCTTGTCACATTTTTTCTTTTATGTCCATCTTTTTTAAGAAAAAACATAAGAGGTTTACTGAATCATCAGCATTGTAGGTTCTTATCTCTCTATCTCTCTCTCCTCCCCACCCCTCCTCCTCCTCCTCCTCCTCCTCCTCCTCCTCCTCCTTATGTATCTCCTCTGGGGAAGCTGGAGGCAGGCTTGAGAAACTTCTGCTGCCTGAGACAGTCACGTGTGCTCGGGACCTCTCACCTGAGGTCTCCGGGGGCTGTACTG